GTAGAGAAATTTCCATCATCTGTAGAGAAATTTCCATCATCTGTAGAGAAATTTCCATCATCTGTAGAGAAATTTCCATCATCTGTAGAGAAATTTCCATCATCTGTAGAGAAATTTCCATCATCTGTAGAGAAATTTCCATCATCTGTAGAGAAATTTCCATCATCTGTAGAGAAATTTCCATCATCTGTAGAGAAATTTCCATCATCTGTAGAGAAATTTCCATCATCTGTAGAGAAATTTCCATCATCTGTAGAGAAATTTCCATCATCTGTAGAGAAATTTCCATCATCTGTAGAGAAATTTCCATCATCTGTAGGGAAATTTCCATCATCTGTAGGGAAATTTCCATCATCTGTAGGGAAATTTCCATCATCTGTAGGGAAATTTCCATCATCTGTAGGGAAATTTCCATCATCTGTAGGGAAATTTCCATCATCTGTAGGGAAATTTCCATCATCTGTAGGGAAATTTCCATCATCTGTAGGGAAATTTCCATCATCTGTAGGGAAATTCCATCATCTGTAGGGAAAATTCCATCATCTGTAGGGAAAATTCCATCATCTGTAGGGAAAATTCCATCATCTGTAGGGAAAATTCCATCATCTGTAGGGAAAATTCCATCATCTGTAGGGAAACCGAAACTCTCATCAGGTCAGAGAGGAGCACCCACAAGCGATGCGAAGGCTACGAAACAAAAGACTTCGTGGTCCGCAAATACTGGTCAAGTTTCCAGGGCAACCAATCTTGCCGCCTCTTCTGTAAGGACACAACAGACTGTCCAAGGAGCATTCCAACCTTTCTATCTTAACCCGTTGAATGTCTACGCGCCCAGTAGCAACAGCAACGTTTTGCAGGCCAACTCTAACGGGAATATTATCGGATACCTAGCTACAGGAAGCAATACGCAAGTTATTAATGCGTCCCAGCTTGTTGCCGCACTATTGCAAACCGGTCAGCTGCTAACGACAGCCAATGTCGGAAATGCAAGTCAGGTTCCAATGGCCCTTGCTACGAGTAATGCTACGAACACGACTTACGTTCCTGCTACGCCGACAACCACAGTTGCAACATCCACGAATGTATACGCCATGGCTACCGCTGCACCCTATGCCATAAGCAATCTCCAGCAGGCTACATTTACATCGGCTAATGGTACTACTAGCGCATTGAAGCCCCAGACGCTGAACTTGAACGGAGTGCCAGTTAACGGGTACGTCCTCAGTCTCCAGGAACAAGATTCGAGTAACTCTGGACAAACGGCGTATTATCATGTGGCTACTGCCAGTGATCAAATTACTCAGACAGTTTTACCTAACATTAAACTACAGCAGCAAGACATTCAGTCACTATTTAATGATAGCCAGCAACAAAACTATTACGAGTACCCGATGTATGCTACTTATCAAAGTAATAACACCTCGACCAATGCAAACAGTTACTACTCAACTTACTACTAGTAAAACTCTACTCAACTTACTACTAGTGAAACTCTACTCAACTTACTACTAGTGAAACTCTACTCAACTTACTACTAGTGAAACTCTACTCAACTTAACTACTAGTGAAACTAAACTCTACTCAACTTGCTACTAGTGAAACTAAACTCTACTCAACTTGCTACTAGTGAAACTAAACTCTGCTCAACTTGCTACTAGTGAAGCTAAACTCTGCTCAACTTGCTACTAGTGAAGCTAAACTCTGCTCAACTTGCTACTAGTGAAGCTAAACTCTGCTCAACTTGCTACTAGTGAAGCTAAACTCTGCTCAACTTGCTACTAGTGAAGCTAAACTCTGCTCAACTTGCTACTAGTGAAGCTAAACTCTGCTCAACTTGCTACTAGTGAAGCTAAACTCTGCTCAACTTGCTACTAGTGAAGCTAAACTCTGCTCAACTTGCTACTAGTGAAGCTAAACTCTGCTCAACTTGCTACTAGTGAAGCTAAACTCTGCTCAACTTACTACTAGTGAAACTCAACTCTGCTCAACTTACTACTAGTGAAACTCAACTCTGCTCAACTTACTACTAGTGAAACTCAACTCTGCTCAACTTACTACTAGTGAAACTCAACTCAGCTCAACTTACTACTAGTGAAACTCAACTCAACTCTGCTTACTGCTACTACTACTAGTGCAAGCAGTGAATAACTCGTTCAGGTTTATCAAAAGGCCCTTCCGTTCAATAGACGTCAGACGTACCATTACGTGTCATCTGGTGTTTTTCCTTAGTTGTAACTTAGGGTTGGAGCTTGCGAACTACTGCTGAAGTTAATAAAGATGCTTCTAAGCTTGATTTCGATCCGCGCATACTGATGCACAAAAGGAAACTGTCGTAGCTCTAGTATTTCCGTCATTATGAGATTATCCACTGATAGAATATCCAATCGAAAGAATTTCTACCCGATCGGGATTTTTTTTCACTGTGTTTTCCCTGTTAGTTTAAAATGCCAGCAGCACTAATAGCACCAATGGTCCTGCATCAATGTGCAGAGAATACTGTTCGCATTAGGTCTAATAGTGCAGCAGCAAACAAAAGGTACTTCTGTTTCGCGGCAGGAGCCGCCCAAGTCAATGCCTACCTGCATGAACACCGCTCGTCCCATGATGGCTTGCGTGGAGTGCCTTTACATAACGCTAATTCGCATCTTGGTAGTACGAGATTTCTTTTTTGTTACTAGTAAATCGTACATGATGACGCTATCGTGACGTCAGTTAGAGCATAACCTTTGAATAAAAATTAATAAGTAATAATATTATCCTATTTAAGGTTTCGCGGTACCTAAAGCCAGCCTATGAGGTCGTTGAAGCAACAGTAGTAGTTTTAACTAAAACGTGTGACTGCTGTTGCAATGCTCCTGCCTAATTGTCATGTTACAGATTCGTGAGTAGCTATATGATGGCTAAAAAGGTTTAGGTTGACCTAGGCCGCTGTGCAAAAAGAAAATTTCAGGATTTCAAATAGCTCTAATCGGATTTTTCCTTCCAAAATTTCCGTCGAATATTTCACAATATGTTCAAACGACTTACCTATCGGAAGCTTAATATACGTCTATGATTTGTAGAGAGAGGAAGCCTGCAATATAACGTAGGTAAACTATTGCGGTAAAATTCCAGTCATCGAGTCCTGAACGTCTACGATTTCCGCAGCGATATTAGATTAGTAGTTACAGTTGCCACAGACAGCAGTGAACAACGATGCAGAGCAGTTCAGATGACAGTGAGGTATCCGCGGGGTCAGATGGACGGCTACATCGTCTGTTGGAACTCCTTCTAGCAACTGATGGAAATCGTGAGTGCTTCGACTGTCTTTCTCGAGGTCCGACTTGGACGTCGTGGTCGCTTGGGTTGTTTCTATGCATTCGCTGTGCGGGACTACATCGGGGTCTTGGGGTTCACGTTTCGCGCGTTAAATCAGTTGGACTCGATCACTGGACACCTCAACAAGTGCGTTTTTGATGGAATTGTTTTCCAAACCTTTTTTTTGAAATCTATCCTTTTCCTAGCTCGTATTGAAGCTGTCATGCGTTATGTAAAAAGCTCGATTTCGTTTGGAAGTTGATAATAATGTCAACATTATTAGGCACATAAGTGATATCACAAGAGATGACTGGCGTCAGCGGTCGTCTGCCGTAATAAGATTCCAGCCTTTTTTCATTGAGCAATGAATTCATTGACCTTTTTCAGTCTGATATATAATAAAACACCGATCTCCCGCGCTGTTTTCCAGGTAGCTCGTCTAGTTCAGATAGGCAATGAACGTGGCCGTACGATTTACGAGTCGAAACTGCCTTCAAATTTTCATCGGCCGACTGACCTTAATGAACTGCGAGCCTTCATACAAATCAAGGTACGATTTTCGATGATCGGTTGGCCTTATGAAATGAAATGCGCCTTTTTAGTACCGCTTTAAATAACCGTTGTTGCGACTATATAAAATTAGATGGCTTTGTTTTCCCACTAAATCTTTAGAAGCAATAAAACACTAATATGAAACTATACTTTCTGCTAATGTAAGAATTTAAGATAAATATACAAAGGACGATAAAAACAGTTCTCAATTGTCCACACAAATGTTCGTCCACCCAGTACCTACATCGAGTTTACGTGACACCCGGCTACCGAGATCCACCTATGCCGCCTTCCGATTTGAGCATTGAGCAGCTGGAAGCAATCATTGCAGAATTCCTCAGGCAGTCAGCAAGAGCTATCCGTGCCATAGCACCAACGAAAGTTGCCGAAACGAGTCAGCAACGTCATCAGAAGTTTTCAAGTGATCTTGTCACGCTCGCAAACGACGAGAAGGTCCAGTCGCGAAACGGCGGAGCCGTAGATCAATATGAAAGAAGGGTCAGGTTCCCGATCAGCTCGACGAGCTCTACGCTGTTAAACGAATCGACCCAAAGCGTCATGAGTGATCGACTGCTAAAGGAAATACCTGGCACTGATGAGGGTGATCTGATAGAAAACGAGACGCGTGTCGACGAAACGGCAGTTTTTCTGCCAAATATGGATGAGGATTGCGTGCTTATTGATCTCTAGGAAACACTATCGCTTGTGGCACGATCATTCATTTTGTTTTCATTTTTTGATTTTCTCACTTCTGTAATAGATTGTTTACTAGCTATCACAAGCAACGAGAAATTGCAGAAAGCCGATTTCTGTTAGACTGAAGAAACTTAACGTGCACTGAACGTAACGGTGTACCTGAACAAAAGCAAAGATATACATAATAATGGCTCCTGTAGGTTATGCAGAAAATAATTTTATAGCTATGCCCAGTTTTCATAGCTAACAAAGATGCTCATTTATGTTTCAAATATGTCTTCTAGTGTCTTATATGCAGCTGCATCGTTTACGGGTCATCTACGAACAAATGTTTGTACTCTGGCGGCAAAATTTAAAATAAATGCGCTATCGTTGAAAGAAATTGTCACTTATTATCCTTGTGTATATAGTTAATTAAAGCATTGATTGAAATGATCTTGTCTTTGTGATGTGGAGCTATTTTCCTTCGATGACTAGTTCACTGCCGTTATTGGAATCACACAAAAAATAGTGGGCTGAGCGATTAAACTGTTGCGAGCCTATTACAGGCCCGATTGCGAGCCTCTGACATGTGAATGCCCAGTTATTCCGAATAAGGCACTTGTTGCGAGAGGTGCTGCATATGATTGGCGTTTTTACAAGGCTTCATTAACCTTCATCGTAAGATTTGTACTGATGACATCGAGATTACAATGATGTGTTTGATACGTCTTAGCAGAAGGCACCCGCCACGTTCTGCATCGCCTGATCTTCAATTACTCCAAATACAATAGAAGCATAATATATTGATATTTCTGATTCATCATTAAATTAATCGAAATTCATTTAAAGTGAGAGCAAACAGCTAAAACAGAAACGAGGCGACAAATAGCACATTATCGTAATATAAAATGGCCACATAGCCATCTATGATTCAGGTCTCGTTCGTGCCAGATCCGTACAGAAATATCCATGGACATTTGTAATAACAAGTCTTCGATTTATTTCGATATTTCAATTCATAAGATTAATAGAAGTTGGTCTTCCTAGCGTGCCTTGACTTTTTATGAATCAACAATTTTATACATTATGTTGTTTAAACATTATTTTGTACGATACCCAGGTGTCCCTTTAGCGACCTGGAATCCTGAGCATTTGCTCAGTGAATGAATCGACTGACCTTGATTGCTGCGTCCATGATTGACACTGCGATTTAATCCCTTGCGCAACTAAGCCTTGCTTAGGCTTAGATATTAGGTTCCATTAAACACCTCACCATGAGACTTCATTACAAATAGCTACGGTGCACGCAATCGAGTCACAATGTTTAGGTTCAATAGAGATTCACTATACAATTATATTAAACATAGTGGATTAATCAACATAGAAATTCCGCAGTACGACCGCATCGGCATTTACAAAACAATCCTGAATTGCGTCATTTGAAGGACAGATCTTGCTAATGGCAGCATTTACAGGAGCCGGTACTACTCTTTAGTTGTGATTTTTACAGGATAAAGTGTTTAAGGCTCTGACGACAACTCCAGTAATCATCCTGTTTACTAGAGACGCTTTCCTCGATGAAGGTCATGCTCCACGGAGAAGATCATAAAAACATGCGTGCCATTATCAATACGAACAACATGTCACTAAGAACGGATCTATGGCCCTTTATCGATGATCATTGATGGTATCCGCTTGATATTTGATTTAGCCAAAGTTTCGGTTGGCCATCGGTAAACTCTGCGGTTCGTCACTATTATTTTATACTGCTGCAATCCTTGCACTAAACTATTAGAAAAACTGTTTGCGTGGATACGATATATAATACGTTCTGCGGAGAGTTCAGTCGTTTCATGCTAGCAACTATGCTCGGAACAGACACGGCGCTTCCTCGTTTATTTGCAACTGCCTTCTAAACCACTGGCCTATGTGCAACTGGCAAGTTACGATTTGTAACTTAGTAATATTGATTGTACGAAGTGTGGCAATCATCACTGCCCATATCTAGGATTATGAATTAGGCCCTTGCTCAATCATAGTAAAACGTTGTTATACTAAAATTGCCATCGAATCTTTATCAACTTATAGGTCAGACACGGAACAGCCTTACCATAGACTTTAGCTGAAGACCTTTTTCCTGGTAGACACGATAATTACGCTAGCAGAATTCTCGATATGTCCACCTATTTTCTTTCCGAAAGCTTACGCAGTATCGCGTTAATTTCCGGCAACGTGGTGCTGGCGATCACATTGACAACCTGTCTTTTCGTCTCGTTGTTAACTTTTTCTTTGAAGCGAGCGTTGCGTTTTACGTTAAAACCGAAGTCTGGGTAAATCAACTCTGTTCGGAACCTACAGACAAGAATTATGCCACGACGTAGTTAGACTGCCAGAAATCTCTGCTCAACATGTTTACACCGCGGGTCGGATTATAGATCGTTCTGTTCAAAATTGCTTATTTTTAGTTTGTGTGAATGACGTATCACTGGCAGACCTTCGATATAGCCGTAATTCAAGGAAAAGGTCGCGCAATGAATAACTGGGGTTGAATGTGGGTCTATTCGTTTTGGTTCGATCCTAGCACTTGACGAGCTAATTTATCAGCGGGACACTTCACAGACCGTTGTATAATGTGGATTTTCATTGAATATCAATACACCCAGGTGGTGTGCTAGCAGAAGTACAGAAGTTATCTCGACACCCATAGGACCGAATCCCGTAAAACGTAAAGATTTTTATATATATATTTATTTATTTTTCTTTTATACGTATCCACGCTACGTTGGAGAGAATCTGCCTTTTCAATAAGAATGTGCGCTGAAGTAATGAACTTGACTGGGATGTTACCAGTCGAAAAAAGACGTTTCTGCGACTGTTAAAGGTACCAAGTCCAGCGGCAAATTTTAGAACAAAGCTTGTTCTGGGAGGCCAATCGTCTCATCTAATGATCCCAAGCATAAAACTTAGTTCTTCTGTAATAGCATGTCTAATAAGTGCAGCTTACCTTTCAAGGATGAGTTTGGTGACGCTCAAAGGGCCGTCCTCAAAGTTAGTAATCTCGATAGAATACTCCGTCCCGCGGAAGCGCACCTCCACCTTGGCAGCCCACATTGTCCCCACTAGGTTGAACCCAGTTACGAGTGCCTCATAAACCACGAAGGTACTATTCAAGTCAAGAAGACACTTCACCTGTTAAGTTAACCCGTAATTGTTACAAGTTCGATACAGATTTGCATTTCTAATAGAACTATTGGCTCGCCAAGGAACTTGAAAAATGTATTTTCCATAGCCAGCTACAGTTCACAACTGTGAACCATTATAACTTGAGTCGGACGGTTCGCCGTTACTTAGCAGCATTTTTTTCCTCACGAGGAAATCTATTTTGATACATTGTTTACAGGTCGTAACATTCTGCCCGCTGTTCGTGCCGCTGTTTGTCATGCCACTTACGGTAATCTTCTTCTTATGTGATGTTGGCGGCCGACAGCTTTTGGTCTTGATCGTGTCAATCCCGCTAACCTGGCCTTTGTTGAACCACGCATTAATGTCACGATGTGTCATTAGAAAATTCCACAATAAAGTTTTTTTTATCTGAAATAAATCGAAAGTAGCGGAACGGCGAACTTTTTGCTTAATAATAAATTCGAGAAATCTACTTACACTGCTGATGCGATAACATGACCTTTATTGATATTATTTGGTATTATTAATAACATTGACAAATACCTAGTATTAGGCCTCAGTATTTCTTGTTGTTGTTGGTGGTTCGTATTGCCCAAAGAGCATTGGGGCACGAATCGACCAATTTTTCTGCCTTGTCCTGTTGCGTTTATAAGGAAAAAATTAGATATCTACGCTTGGGTCATGCTTATATTATTGTTGCAACAATAAATTGGTGACTTTTTTTTTTCTATATTTAATCGATAGATTTAAATGACAAATAAATGCTTTATAGAAATTGTATATTGTTAGTTTTTATTTAGAGCAGATTCTTTAACAGATGTAAAATAAGAACTCTGAAACTTTCAGATGAATCGTTTTCAAACAAGTCAGAAACGTTTACCCCATTTTGTGTTATATAAGCGGTTATGGGTAAAACGATGGCCAGGCTGCCTCACCTTAAAATAGAATCCTGCTAAATGTACAGTGTTGTTGGGCAGATGTGCTAGGACGTCCTCCATAAACTGTTCTGCATCATTTTGGGTCTCGATATTGAAATTCGAAGAATTCAGAAATTGGGCCTTTCCTAAACCAATACAAGCGAATAACTTATCAATAAGTAGTGTTTTGCTAAACTGCTCGCATTATATGAATTTATATAGAAATAACTTAATGTCTATACAGTGATTGTTTTGATCCTTGCTTGATCACGCCCTATATTTTATTTGGATTTTATTACATATGTATTATAGTTTAAAGAGGGTATCCTAAATCGGATAAAAAGAGAAAATTCTAATGATCTGTAACTATTGATGAAAAATGTGGTCAGCATTGGCAAAAATCCAATTCTAATTGATCGATTACTAAATATACCTCTTAGCTAAAAGACGCCATTAAATCCATAATGTTCATTTGGCTCCCTACGTAGTTTCCAGTCATTAAAATGTAAACAAACCAGCTTCACCGATAAATGCGGTCCTTTTCTCAAATACTTCTTAACAACTAGTTTTTGCGCAATGCGTTCTAGAGACACCAACAAACGACAACAACAACAACAAAAACAACAAGAAACCTAAAGAACTCAATCCTAGATCAATACTGGATGCTGATATAAATAAAATCAATAAGAAATAAAAAAAGAAGGAAAAAAAGAACACAACACTTCGTCAAGGTAGTAAAGCTAATGCAAAAATTTTAATAAATATTCTTTACCCTTAAAGAATACTTACTAACTCATATTGGGTTAGATAGAAATGTTGAGGGGATAGATTGTACGTCGCTATGACCGAGACGACATGTACATTTATTTCACAGATTCTATCCGTTGTACAGTGACTTGATTAGATAAATGTGCATGGGCTGATTCTTTGATTCCGGCCAAATGAGTACGCTGTTCTATACGTAAATATAGCTACTTGAGCGCCCTGCTACGCTCGCCATGTAGTTTCCTCTATATTATGACGTCGAAGAGTCACCGTAATTGGTAACGTTGCGTTGGGCGCAAAGAGCCTGAATAGAACGAACGATAGATATCAATCCAGTCGATAACTGACGAGAATCCGTTAACGTTATTAGCAGAGGGTAGGCAGCTATCCCATCTCAAATTGTAGTAATTCATGAAAATGGACGCCCAATCAACGTCCACAGCTTACCAAGGACCTTATGGTGATAATGATCCATTCTATAATTATCGAAGATAATCTGTTCCATGACTAATTGATAGTTTCGAAGAATTTGCTGCCGCATTGAGCCTTCCCGTAAAGGTCACAGAAGGTACGCGCCCGAGGCTTTATGTTAATCGCTGTAGGCTGCATCTATAGCGTAGCTATATAAATTCTGTAATTGGGATTTGTCGGCGTCAAAGATAGGACACTGTAAAAGATGTTCACTAAATAGTCAATTTAGTACTGCTACCCCACAGGTGAAGTAGCTAGTTGAAACAGGTAATGACTTATAGCCCGATACAAAACACCATGGTGCAATTAAGAGACGATAGCAAAAGTCCTACGGCACATTAAGCTCTAAAAAAAAAAGCCACCTGCTACTATTTGACTGTCTGTCTCGATATTAGCTGATCTTCTTTTGGCAATCGGTTCGAAATGTAGTAGAATATTATATAACAACATCAATCTCAGTTACATAATGAGATTATCCGTACAATATCCAGTAGCTCAAGAGGTGTTTTAGATGAATTTGAACGTCGCGTTCATATTTTACATATGTCGTAGAATCTATATATATATATGTCTGTATATATAAATTGATTTCGTTTTTCCTATGCTACATGCGTATAATAGTTACCAACAAATAACACTTCAATAGTCTAACATTTACCATTGAATTTCGTTAAAAGGCTAGCTCGTACGTCCGTATGACTGAACAATTTCAGACGAGCAGGGCTGACTCCAAGCAGTATTTTCATTGTAGATCGAAACGTTCATATCTTATAAGAATACAGACCCTTTTCATTCTTTCGACAATTATTTGCAGATAGAATTAGGCCACAGTTTGGCATAGTTCATTTAAATGTATATCTCTTGCCATCTCTTCGTCCACTTGTAGCGATCTGTGCTCTTCTGGGAGTCTTACTAGTGATGTAAATGGAGTTCCCTGACAAAGGAAGCGGTCTCATGCGCTTTTACATCGGCTAGAATCGGAGCAGACTTACAAAGAGCCACATTTCGTCAAAAAGTCTAGTCGCAGTACCGTAGGTAATACCATGTTGAATCACTACATACTTGTGTGGCATATAACAAGGCGAAGGCGAGAACCCGTACAATTTATTTGATTGATAAATACATGGATTTTACCAGTGCAAGGTAGAACGAGGTAGCTAGCGCTTGTGGTTACCTGGTGGAGTGGCAACGTCATAATCCAATTGTCATCCATGTACTGATAACGTGTATAATGATTACAGGACAGGTAATGTACCACTATGTATTAAATCCGACGAAACAGTGATGTTTTATGAGGCTGATATTAAGTCCTAGTCTATCAGTAACAGCAGTTCTTCAGTAGCTTCTGTAAGGCCTAGTATAATTAAAGGCTTTACATCGTGTGAGTCATGCACCCGTTACGATGCCTCATAAATCATTTGTATCGATCGATCATAGTCGTCAAGGGCTATAAGGGTTTCGTCGATCAGGAACAGGGGAATCATAAGGGAGTCCGTCTTTAAGGCAGAGGCCAAGCAAAACAAGCCATTGAAACGTGTCACACGAGTACTCAGTTCGACTAGACGATATCCTACGATCAAGGCATCCGGTGTGCGTAACATTCCGAAGCGACGCTCAATGGCAATATCGGGCTTACAAATTGAAACACCTGTTCCTATGCGGAATATATGAAATAAATTGCAGATATATTCGGGTACGTGTAAATATATTTATACATATACAAAGTCATAGCTTATATAACATGTGCTGTATATGTATAGCCTGTAGTGAGCATCGTATGCTTTGCACAAACCGCGCGAAGTAAATAATATATAAATCAAAGGGGAAAGCTGTTTTGCATGCTACCCAGATAATTTTAATCAGCTTCCATACACCAGAAACATCTGTTACGCCACGATCTGGCCAATATCTGAACCGCAAAAACTAGCGAGACCCTCTTGTTCCTATAAGAAATCTAGAACCTCCAGAGCATTTCGTCAACTCTTCGCACCGCATACTACTGTCACCATTTCTATTCAAGATTTGACGCACAATATGGTACGTCACTGCAACTATCGCAATGACGCTCGGCACACACATCTTAATACTAACATCCCATTCATAGTCGAGATCTCAACTCACCTTGGGCAAGTGCCACACTTATACAAAAACAAACAGTCACGCAAGAAAACCACATTGTGCTTGCCTTTAAGCGACCATACGAATAAACTTGACCTTTTTTAGACCTACGCCAACAGCAGCGGTGGCGGAGGCGGTGGCAACGGTCAGCAATACGCAGCTTTCCGTAAGGCATCAAATTTTCACTAGCCATACCGCTAGACTCAGCTGCTCAGCGGATTAATTTCGCCTCCCGTACTCCACAGACGAGAACAAGATGGCCCGGACGGCTTGAGTGACGTATTTCGCAGCTCACCATCTGCTGGTACCGAGAAGACACCCACAGCGCAACAGACAATCCCGTAGCAGACATCACTTAGCAGCGGATCACGAAACAATTTATCGGAGCGCCGCCATCCTCAGAGACCCGGTATTTGGTGTGGAGGGACTTTTCGGCGGAGCACGCCCGTCAGATTGCCTGCAGCGTCAATTGTAGGCAGAGTGCGGAGGCGAAGAGCGGCGAACGTCGTCTTGGCAGTGGCGGAAGTGAAGGAAGACTAGATTCTATTGTTGGTACTTGCGCGTTTAGTTTACGCATTTGCAAAACGCTCGACCCACAACTGTACAGATTACTTGAATCTGTGATGGAAGGACGTCTGTTTGTAGCGAGATTGAAGGAAAATGACTGTTGTTAACTTCGTAACGCCATGGCGGAGCTAGCACAGAGACGCGTGACAGCGACAACGAATCTCATTCGCATAATAGTGCGGTGTCGAGGGTTGGCCAGAAAGAACGGCTGCAAGTAGGCTCAATAAATTCAGGCCTATATATTGCCCTGCTGGGATCTTTACTGCCTTTTCATTTCCCGTTGGTATGTTACATACACTGTTGTCGTTCGTGTACAGAGAGCCTCAAATAACAATCTTATTTCGCCACTATCTTGAATCTACTTCCCACCGCATCGATGTCGTCAAATCAATATGCTGTTGAAAAACTATGCACCGTTTTTAGCCAAAACAATGCTAGTAAACTGAGTAAATAAACTGTCATTTATATCGTCAATGACATCCCGCCATATTTTTGGTTTCGCCATAATCCCGTCACTTTGGTCTAATAAAATGTTCTAACTCTTGCGGAACAAGCAGTATCCAGCTGCATAAACGACCGTATAAAGCCAAACAGTCACAGTTAAGTAGAACTACGGCGCGGTGCCACAGCTGCTGCCGATGCGGAGATTTCAAACAATCTGATGTTTTTTTTTTTATTTGAAAAACCTAATTCATGTTTTTTTGATAACGTATCACTACTCTGACCGAAACTAACCCATCAAGTCGAAGGCGAGAGTTTTGTGGTGTTCAATTGAGAAGCTCGCGGAGCCTCATGCATCTATATATTTCCTATAATTATGTAGCATAAAACTCTAGATCAAGATATCGTTCTTAGGTTTACAAAATGGTTCGGTTCAAGCAGAGAGCCGTGCGTGTCTTCTGTGATGGTCTCATGCAAAGCGATATTTTGGCAGGAAGGGTCTGAAGCTGTAAATCGAGGACGTCAACTTTCGTACGGAACAACACTTGGCAAAGATGAGCTTTCTTAAAATTGAATTGTGCGTATGGAATCCTTGGAAGGAATCCTTCAAATGTGTTCAGAAGAAAGGATTTCTATGAACCAGATGTCGTATCAGTGCTCGAACCTCTCTCCTGGATCCGTATCTGTAACGAAAATTTTCTTTTTCTTGACTACTAACGTCAAATTCGTTGTTATCCCCAAACGTCAAGCCATTTACAAAAGCTATTCGATAACAGTAACAATAATAGTGATTATTGTCCTCAGTAATCTATGCCATCAGGCCCAGTTGTAGACGCCGACACGTCGATTGTTAGTTGATCAAGAATGTTTAGATTATAAGTGTATTACCAAGACAAACTTTACAATAATATTTCTCACAGACTTTACTGATGTTGCGCGCCATTATTGCAACGGTGCCTATTCATTCGTAAACTCTACGTCTACTTAAACGTACGGGTTTCGTTTCATCAGCAGGCCTGTAATTTGGATGCATATAAGGCCAGACGGTCGTAGATATTCCAAGCAAACTTATTACGTGCTTGTAAGGAAATTTCCTTAAACTTCCTTCTGACGATTTATCACAGATACAATACAGCCCTGCAAGATAAAAAATTTTCATTGTAAAAACGCTTGCTGTACTTTACCGAACTATCTGTTCAGCGTAATTATCAGCTAGGAGTTTACGTTTTTGACTCCACATCGTTAGACGCCCTCACGATAATGCGATAGAACCGTGCACTTATCGTCGTAATTGTATCTCCAGTTTAGTTCCTGCAGATTGCTCATATCGAGGTTCCCGCCTTGATAGGTCCTCGAAACAATGTTAAAAGGCTGTGTCAAATTCAGCTATCGAATGCGCTTCTTCATCTTTAAAGCGACAGGTAATAATTTACAGAAATTGGACAATTTAGATGTTATAAGCTGGTTTCGAGCCTATTTATAATAACAAAACTGTGAGCGCCTAATTTCGAATCTGCATTTTCAGTTTAAGCGTTTGTTGTCAATCAGTACCCATAGGGGGCGCTACCGCGTGTGAAGCTCCAACAAACTCCAGCGTTCGTCAGATGGCTTGTCGTACCCTGTTGCGTCGGTAAGCAACATCCAGTAGTTTCGAATGGCTCCGAACGTTTCTGTCGGGATTAACAGTATGTATAGAAAAAAGAAACACCTGTACAAAATATTGGCAATTTAACTATAATTTATAATGCCCAACGCGATCGCTTCAACTCTGCTGGTCGAATACAATTCCGTCCTATGAATTAGCCGTAACTGCTCAAACAAGAATATTTCAAACAGAAAATGCTCGATTTGAGAACGGAACTATTCAGCAGCTGTTCCGCTGATACATTCGACGAAGACAGGTAGGCCAGTTTAGACAGTAATTAAGTCTTATAGACTTACAGAGCTAAAATACAACGCAAGGAAATCGAGTGTATAACATACTCTATTATAATAATATATGGATATATAACAAAACATTACACTGTTACGCATATTCGGATGTGCATAATATTTGGTTTTTCTTTTCATTCATTAGCACTCAGTGTTAACGAATGTTCGCCTAGTTGGTCGCGGAAAATAAAAATTCAGCGCGTAAATTTTCATAACAATTTCAAGAGGAAGAAGAAGAAGAAGAAGAAAAAATTTCACTACGAAATTTTTTTATCTACGCATCAACTTGCAACTAGAAAGAATACCGTATTTTTTAAGCACACGTACTTTCCGCTATTAACAAAATTAAGTATGAGCATTTTCTCTACGTACATAATTTTATTGACGCCGTTATTGGTAGCCTTTTTTTTTTTAATTTCTATGAGACACTGCAGATTTCTTAAAATAGTCGATCAAATAAAATAGCGGCTAATATTCAAGCGTAAGAAAAAACAAGGAAAATCTAATTCTGATCACTGAGACGACATTGTACGCTAAGTCAGCGCCTCATCGTCGTATCAGGTACGTACAATACCTACAGCCCTAGTTCATCGCTGATTCGCTACCCGCACAAGTACCTATACAACTTGTGGAAATGAGCACAGACTATTTTATCGAATCCTATATAGAAAAATCCATAGACTCGAATGTCCCGTACATTAAATAAAAATGAAACGAAAAAACACAAGGAATTGATACAAATTTTTTACATTTTAATCACCAGAGTGTGCATAGTCACTAGGCCTCATGAGCCTCCACCAAAAATGCAAAAAGAGAGAGAGCTGATCAGAAAGTAAAATCAGTCTTATGTATTGCTTTGTACGTGTCGAAATGAGAAAGCCTAAAAACAAACAATTGAAACAGACAATACGACAAGGGATAATTATAATATATACACGCTCTAAGCTAACCAACAGGGGTTGTATCCAAATGACTTAGAGGAGTTTCTTCGTTATGGCATCAGAATCGAGACCGCCTTAGATCGTTTGATGCAATATACTTTTTCTCAATACAATTGAAGCAATGCTTAACTGTCGCATCCCATGTAAAAGTCGAGTCATATAAACGAAATTAGTCCGAAACTGAGATCAGGGGTTTCTCGTTCGCGAACTCTCGGCTCCGGCACTGAGAGACTTTTAATCCTTTCCAAAACACGGTTCAAAGAATACTGCTCGGGGCTAAAAATTGAATGTTTTGCATTATCTGATAACATAGCATGAAAAATCTAAAACGGTCTCTAAGTCCGAAAACTGCCCTCGGTAGGCTGACGAGGTACACACGCTGAAGCCTCGAACCTTGACAATACGGTGAAGTTCCTCGCGAGTCTTTGTCTGAAAATTAATGTCGTTCCCTTGCCTTTGAATGCCTTCACTTGTGTTCTCACTCTCACCCCATCAAACGAGAACTGATGAACCTATCGTAATGGGTTTATCATATAAAACGTAGATGCAGCTCCTTCATGCCATAATCACTCTGCTCAGGTATACCAGACACAGCCGAGTGGCGATCAAGCACGATATGTAGTAAGTAAAATCATCTTTTATTGTACACTATATTGTTCTTTCTAATCTTCTACGTACGCAAACTTAAACACGTCTGATTGGCACTAGTCTGCCAGTCGCCTATTTGTGCAATAGCTTTGGCCGAATAGTCGTTACTAGCATTAAGAAGCTACTCTTTTGTCTAATATAGTAATCAATATTTCCGTTGGAGCAGTCATCGATTTGTTTGTTTCATCTATTAGGATTTCATTTGCCATTTGGCAGTGAGCCGCATTGTTACCACCGCAGCCTACAAATTTACACGTATTGCGGTAGGTCAAATGTGGGGGGCCGTAGGAGCTGCGCGATCAGCTCAAGGACTGACGTCGGAGGTCACCTTTTTACCAACTTTGGGAAGGTTAACCCCCGACTTCAAGCTTCAGTTCCAACCCGGGGCCAAATTTGCCATTAGCTTGTGATCCAGCAGCTCCTAACATTTTTTGCAATCAGTATGTCTCGTTGAGGCGTGGAATTATCTCTGTAGCGGTTTTAGAACGCGTTCTTTTAGCAGAATCGCGAAGGTTGATGACCGGACGGAGTTCGTAGCTCCAACGGATTATGTTTTGTTTAGCGGTACGGCGTATAAAAGTTCCGTTGCAATTTCAAGCAAGCTCTATGTAAAGAGTGACAGTTGTATTAAGATTAGATATTTAGTGATATCATGGTCATGACGGGCGTAAGCCGTATACAATACACATGCATTTTTTGTCTGGACGGTAACGTCTGTTTTTTCAACTTAGCGTCCGGAAAAAAGTCATCCTCTAACTAAGGTTTATTCACGAGGTATTATCATCGCGGGAAACGATTTTACTATGCGGTAACGGCATTCGACTGATTTGGTCTGCGACCTACTCACCATGACCAGTGAATCTGGGAACCCCACGCTTCTCCTTCTGCACCCAACTTTATTTTGATAGTGGTAAACTGTGGTCTATACTCGCACGTATCGTGTAATTATGTAATCTAGACAAAACCTGAAATAGTAACTTCTAGTCATTTTGAAGTTCATGTCCAATGCGACTGCCGTAGTTCAGTATTAATTCAGATGAGTGGCACCTTCCAGAATTAAACAGCAGGCAAGATACGCCAGTACAAAGTTTCAAGTCTGAAGAAGAGTTCGAGTGATACTTTTATGTATGGGCTTACCAGGGCAAAAGCTGGATTTTATACAGACTTGGTATGGGGCTTGGCCTTTGTAGTTGGATTTCATTTCGCCAACGCCATTACTCTCTCATTTTTAATTGGTCTCTTTAGTTCGAATTGACCCAGCTCTTCATTTAATAGTCCTTTAGATAAAGTTTTGAATCTACATTATCTCACGTACCCCTAAATTTACTAGGCAAAAACGCCATCTATTACAGAAACACTTTTCAACAAAATTATTGTTCCTGTTATTTATTTTAATATATTAATATTATTTAATATTCAATGCTATGTGATAACAAACGTGAAAATTAAGCAGGAATTATATGTAAGGCACACTGGTACAATGACTTCGACGACCGAAGTTTTGGTTGAGAAGAAGCCAAGGGCTGCTTCTAATGCCGTATAATATCCATACACATTTGTGAAACAATTGTGATACATCATATGCAGAGAATTGCACAAAAGCAGAGTGACTTTTTCAAGAAGATGGTTACCGAAGCAAGTTTTTGTGCTTTTGGACCTATTCATTTTCGACAGTTTATGACTCTCATCGGTAGGTCACTGGGCGCGCAAAACAATTGAACGATGTAGACAATAGAGTAAAGGAGGCTTCAAACGAAATTCACCCCATTGTGGGTAAAGTACGCCTTGGCCGTCAAGCCAAACTTCAATATGTTTCTCTCAGTGACAAGAACATACCTAATCATAAAATAAGCATTTTCGTTTACACAAGATTCTAGGGTCTCCAATAGATACTCCAACAAGAATGTATCTAAATGAAAAAAGTTGAAACTACATTTTACAACCCTGTACTGCACTGCAACGTACAGCCACGACAACTGAAGGTTAGACCTTGTTTTTTCGTCGAATTGTTATGTCATTTTTATAACACTGGCATAATTATTGACAACATGTGTTGAAATGGGTATATATCTATCACATATACAGTGATAAATTGAAAAAAATTAAGTGGACTTCACGTCCTTTTCACTGCAACGGTCACCACATTGTTAGTGATGAAAAAAGCTGAGCGTCATACTTTCTGCATTGGCCGTCACGTCGACCATACGCGTCCATATGACGACGGGAGAGACTGCCTTTTGAAGCCTGTTTGTCGACAGCTGAGGGATGTCTTTCGCTGATTTGTGGAGATGGTTTGCAGGAAAACGACCATTCTGCATGATCTATGAAATGTTCGCATGTGTGCGAATATATGTGCATTAAATAGAAAACGATAAATGTCGCCAGTGGGTAACCATCGAGACTGTAGAACCATATTGTGCTCAGTCAAATGATACGTGATTAAATTGACCCTGATAACTATCATTGTTATTACAGAATAAAAAGAGCTAAACCCTAGTGATGTTGATAACTGCAACTACAGTAAGTGACGATTGAAGTTCTACGCCAGGTAATGCCTTCGTGAAGGGCTCCTTCAGATAGCTGCCCCTCCCCTCCCCTCCCCTCCCCCCCTCTCCCTGCTATGCTAGATTTGAAATTAGCAAGCAAGCAAATTACCTTCAACTAGCTGCCAAGATGGTAGCTCTTTGAATCTGGCGGGAAGAAAGGAGAAGCCTAATCTAGTGAGAGTAGCTAAGTAGACAACGTCACGGAACGGGCGTAACTATATAATACGGTTGCGCTGTAGTCAATTTGGTGGTGTCACTGACGGAGACGCATCGTCCGGCCTAGGACCGCTGGTGTAATTCCGGTAAGAGAATATTTGATATACCGTTACGAAGCGAAGTAAGGTGATTTAATGTAGATACAACAAAAAAAAAGCGTATATAACCTTTATAGCATTATAATTAGATATTAGCCAAGTGTATTATCTCCGTATTTATCTTATTTGATTTTTCAACATTGCAAACGTCCGCTATTCAACCTGCTTTTCTATTTATACAATAATAACGTCCTTCGTACGTAATTGCACGGCTAACACTATTGGCAATGTTGCCTTACGTAATTTATCCTTTGTAAGTTTGTTCATTCTTAACAACTCATGGACTTCGGACCAGCAGAACAGCCAGAACCAAAGAAGGCTTCTGGCGGTGAGGTCATGAGGGTGAGGCACAGAAATAAAAAGATTCCGGGGATGGACTTGGCGCGTTATTCAACTCTTCCAACGATAAAAGAGGACAAGCAGGTGCGTCAACATTTTCTCGTAGCCATTGATTCATTATTATCTCTATCGCCACCTGATTTGTATTTCAATAAATAGAAGCCACACTTCTTAGCTATAAACGTCAGGTTTTTCACATGCATGATCCTACTATACTTACATAATGGGTGCTAGCTAATCTTCTACAGCTGAATAGTTGCGAGCCGGTTGGAGCTGTTCTATCCCTAGAATGCTACATCGACGAACGCGATTGCAATTAACATAAACAGTCTCCTACTTCTATAAATGCACAGTATCGTGCATTTCGAGCGATTCAGTGAAACGTATAAGAACATGAAACGAAGACGTAGGCTTATTAGTTTTGTGTTGGTCAACACCGCCATCTAGTGGCTAATTATTAACGAACCTCACAGTTTAAACGTATGTCTATGTGAAACGCCGTTACATTTTTTTTTTTTTTTTTTTTACCAATTCGTTAAATACCCTCTAATTCTAAAAATTTTACTTACTAATTTTGTATTATTTCAATGATTATTTCATCGTCATACACGAATCATCCTGTGAACTGTTGCGTTGCACCGTATATTTTGGGCATGTTACGATTGTGACGTCATTACATGAACATTGACCCGTGACACTTTGTTGGTTACTTCCCTATCTTAAGGTGATCAATATTCAAGCCTTCAACCTTCAATTTTTTCCTTCTTTTTGATATTAGGCTACCTGAGAAAAAGCGACGAAGTTTATCTTCTTGATAAAAGCAGCATTTAAATGGCTTAATGCGGAAATCGAAATTTCTACCTGTTGTGCGAAGCTTAAAATAATGAAACAACTTTTATACCTGGAGGCCTTACTAGTTTTCAAGTACTATAGCAAGTGGATTATTATAAGTCCGTTCTTATTTCTTTAAAATTCAGTGACGGCCACTATTCCCCCCAAAAAAAAAAAGATAGAAACTTTAGATTGGAAATATTGGTTATTTTAGTATTTCGAAATATTTAAAAATTAACTGAATTAACTTAGTTTCGAAATAATAGTCAAAAAGTGAGTTGAAAAAAGTGAGTTATATTAAGAAGCACGATGAAGTATTTATAGCAGATACCCATTTCCGTAGACCTTCTACAATGAACGCACTCGAGCGCACCGTGACGCTACATTGATTAACGATACAAAAATGATCTTCTCAAATTTATTGAACTATGAGACCTATCGTACGAAATGGGATTTAGAAACCTTTTCTAGAAAATTTTCTAAATCAATAATATATCACTTCTAAGCGGAAACTTCCTGAGCTAGGTGACACTGTTCTTAAATCATTCGATTGAAGTTTTGCGGGGTGATTAGTAACAACGCAATTTACCGGTCGCCTTAAAGACAAATTCCGCTAAGTCTCGCAGAGCTGCGATTCCACATCATATGAAACCGGATTGTATGATATGCAACAAGCTACCTGGTTTCTCCACAGATATTATACATGTTACATCCGTTGAAATACCCAAAAGTAATGCAATAAGGTGGAGGAGGAAAATAATTTGTCAAGCGATTCTCCTTCTCTCTCATATATATATATATTTCTCTCTTATATTATATATAAATACGTACAATTGTACATGTATTTTTATAGATATAAAAGCCCGTTTGATAGTTTGAGTCCTCACCTTACGTCTACACTTGTGATCATCCTGGAAGTGTCACATAAAGGGAATGACAAACCAGTAGCTACAATCACAACTGACAATTGCTGCTGAGGCTGCAGATAACTTATTTCCATAATATATCTAAATCTTAACCGTAACCTTTCGCTGTAAACGAGGCAATCGATAATTTTTCACATCTTAACCCTTTTATTTTTCTCTACAGGAATTCTAATAAGCAACTTCGAAGTTTTCGTACGACTATGGCCCTTACTTTCACAAGCACAATCTGCTTGAAACTTGGTAGGATCCTAATGGTAAAACTGGCTTAACCCAACAGAGCTCTGTGCGGCCAATGGCCCACATTCTACACGAACAAGCTGTGAAGACAAGACGCATAGGACAGCGGTCAGATTGGCCGAGTGGAAAGAAGGCGACATATGTATATCGAAAGGGTAATCTATATATATATATATATATACAGTAATAAAAGCGATAAAATCTTTCTCCATTGCATCGTATGTAATGGAACCTTCCCATGTAATGTGTATGTATCATAATACGGATATATACAATATACATTACAACAAATAATTTCTGCCTCTTTTCTATATATATATATATATATATATATATATATATATATATATATATGTATATGTATATGTGTATATATATATATATAATTGTTAAATGATTATATGTCAACTAAAGGGATCTTTAGTAATCTGTGAGAGAGAAGAATGCTTCGCCCTAATATTCACTGCGGTGAGGTCAAGTCTTAGTTATTGCTTGTTTGATATATTTGATCTTTATCCTTATGAGATATGATTTCTCATAATGGACGTGATCTTTAACAGATTCGACATTATTAAACAAGTTAAAGTAGCAAGCTTCTCAAAAGAACCAAGTGCAAGCCTTTGAGATAGGGCAATGTCTTAAAAAGGTTTTTCAATAAAATAAAAATTCTATATTATGTAAGCTGACGCTAATAATTTGCTTTAACAAGCAATCTAATAAACAATTTTCCCGAGAAGGTTTCATCGACCGTAGAAAGGCATTCCCCCCCCCCAGTGAAGTTTAATTTACGATACGATGGAAGCCTTTACGCTTCACGCAAAGCGGTTTGGGATATATTCAAGTTCCATTTCTACTGCAGTTTAAAAGATTCATTGAGAGTTAGAGGAGATAAAGCATGATGTAACCTCGATTGAAGCTTTGAGAACTGCTTCAATAGCATTAAATTGCTAACATCACACGGAGACCGACCGCAGCCTAAATCAATGCTTTTGCAAGGAACTAAAATGTAAATTGCACACAACCGCACGATTTCGTCACGAATGTCCACTACTACGAACGTAAGAACTGCGCATAGATGCGTTTGTTTCAGCAGCCATCTGGAGCAGTGCCTAGCGAGTATTGTGTGAAAACCTCAAAGGACATGAACGCTTAATTCAAAAAAACATTAATCTAAACAGGTTGCAAGACAAGCGAACAAATATGGCAGAACATTCTGTAAGGCATATTGTAACACTCAAATAAGAACGCGTATCACACTAGAACTGTGAAATACAATATATCGCTTGTTTCCATCTAACTTCGAATCGAAAATAAAAATCACTGATGCTAATGTCTCAGCTTTGCCGCTATAAATATTAGTTACGGGTAAACAGGTACGAAGCCTCAATTGCTACTACGAACTAGTACTAGGACACTTTCTAGGTATGTATATTAGTAGCCCAAAAGGGAAAAGAAAAACACTTCCATTATCCTATTGACAAAAACGACTTTACCGTTACACTAGTAGTGATAATAAATAGATCAAGGAACTAGGCATCACGATACAGACCGAAAATGTATGAAAACACACTTCGCCGATGATGAAATTTTGCTGGATAGTGTCCAAGCCGAATACGGAAATAAGGACACGCGCAAATTAGGAAAGCTACGAGACTCGTTTGAAACCGAAGTGTTGTTGACGCATTTAGTATTGGCATCGCTTAATACTAACAACATCCAGCTTTGATATATATATTACTGGAAGGCTCAGAACTCGCGCAATTGCAGCGACCTAGTTTTCAGCAAGTCGACCATCGAAGTGGGTGACGAAGACTAAAATCTTTCTGTTCTAAAATTAGTAAAATAAATAGGCAGGTAAAAGCACGATTTTATGTGTAAAGAGATAGCGTCCAAATTGGCATTATACGCTGTCATAAGGTTATAAACATTTTTAGGAAAACCCCAGTGTTTTCATGTTGTTCTTTTTTAGTGGTTAACCATTAACCAACCGTGTGGCTTTAATAGCTACTAGCGTGAATTAAGGAAATGTTAATTAAGGAAACGGCTAGGCTGGACGCTATTCAGGAACGCACCATTTTCGAATCGAAAACAATATAGTTTTGATCGGTTCGCTAGACCTAGGAGTAGAAGTTTATTTCGGGTAAAATATTCCAATGATGACTACTTCATGATCTCGGCTTTTACTAGCCCAATAGGGATGGTCGACCGTTCACCATTTGGTAGGATCCGTCATAAACATTTTAATTCAGATAGTTTTAAGAGGGAGAGACATTAATTCAATGATATTAGTCACGAACCACAGCATTGAAAACAGGAATCTAGAAATGATGCTTTGCAAGTTATGAATCCAGGATCTAACGAGGGGACAACGGTTCCTGTATTTTACCGGGGAGCTGGCCTGCGGACTGAAAACCAACGGTATAAATATTTATAAATGAATTCCTTTGCAGACGGAATTGAATATTTGATTCCGCCAGCTGCCTGCCTAATAATATTTAAGGTAATGAATGAAATACATGTCTTCATTAACTTAAGTATGATGTTTTGTACGTTAGAGACTATATGGTAACTTTCGCGAGACTGGAAAATGGTATGATCGATTTAAAAAAAAGTTCCTTCTCCAGAGGAAATAGACGAATTTCACAAATGATGGGTTGTGAATTAAACCTAATATTCTCAATAAAAGAAAGGCATAAGTAAGTTATAGTAGCTAAGTCAGTAACCTGTTGACTAATAGTTTGTATTAGTAAGCTATAAGGTAAGAATAGAAAAATATGTCATAGTTAACATGTCGCCTTAGGTTCAAAATTTAAATAGCATTCGTTTCGTCTGGACCTTCCGCTATCGTCCACTATATCACAGTTTTTTCACCGGTTCCATAACTAGTACTGGATAAATTAACGTTTGAGACCTGTTGCAATTTTCTTTGCAGAGCTGGACGGCTATACTGAGCTTAAAGAACAAAGGTTTTATGAAGTAAATTTCCATTTTTATTAAAATATACTCCACAGGACTTTTAAATATTTAATATTAGCTAAATAGGATATATTTTTTTCAGTTTATATGGTTGTGGGCTAAAATAGACTCATAACGTAATTCAGCAAAAAAGCAGTTTGGGTAAAACATGGGTTTGCAATTAGATACACTTTTTTGCTGTACGCCAAATATTTCTCATCCATTAACTTGCGTATTTGTAAAATATGGGTGGGCTGACCACGCGCTATTTTAGTGGGCTTTACTTTTGTGAGAGCCCGTTTTCATGAGATCCAAATTAATTCTTTCTTAAGCACAGATTATGTCACGTAATCTATGTGTTATTGTCCTTCTATTTCTTTAGTGGAAGCCATTTTTAAAAACCCGCGCATATGTAAAAAAATTGCACCGCTTTTGGTCTTAGGGAAATAAACAGTATAATAATGTGTATATACCGTTTTAACACAAGTAATGATACCAACAAAGATTTGAGCAATTGAAGTAACAGAATTTTCTCATTGAATACCAATAGGCCTTAGAGAAAAGCTAGATAACTTATTCGTTGCAGTACATATGATTGCTGCGTCTATGCAGGACTTGTACGTCCTCCGTGCGGTTATGCGTCCGGCACAATGTTTCAGCGGTCCTCGCACTTTCGTTCATAGCCGTCGTACGTCTTCGGCGTACGTCTTCGGCGTTTTCCTGGCATGAAGTTCTTTTGCTCTCGATCTAGCGACTTCGTCAGTGTATAGGCTTGCCGTCCCTACAGCACTCATTTGGCCTCCCTTTGCCGTCAAACTACCTTCTACACCTTCTAGTCCACAAAACAATAGGTGTATCAATAGTCATAAAACGAAAGCAAAGCGTTATTAACTGTGATCATACAAGGAAAGAGTATGCGTGAAGGACCAAGAAAATAAAAGCATTGGTTGCCGATAGCTACATAGGCACCAATGCAAAGTGAAGCTTTGCAAATTTTGATTCCGCTCAGTTTTGGGTAATATGGATATTTTCACCTATAAGTTCCATAATTAGGTTGCCCACGTGGATTAATACCGAGTGCCTTATATGTTTTTAATCGAAATCATGTTTTTAGTAGTAATAAAAAATTAGCGCCCGGCTGACTTTCAATCGTCTCTGAAAGAAGCTTCGTTAGCGTTGTTTAACATTGCTTGTCTTGAAAATAATGTTAAGGCTGTAAATACAAAGAATCTGAAGTAGAAGGATGCTATATATTAGGTTTCGTTATAGTATGTCGTTATCTTTCTTAAAGCGTTAGCAATCGCATTTCAACGACAGTGAATGTTGAACTTCAGTATTAAATTCGCGTTTTTGTGTTTAATATAGATAAAAATATAATCACTTTACCACATGCATTTAGCTGTGCTAAGATTTTAGGTTCTTTACTTTCTTTCTATACTATTATAGAAGTGTTCTTACGGAACGCTTTTATTTTTATGGGAACATCTTTGCACTATAAATAAAGAACAAACTATACATAAAGAATATTTTTGAAATGACATTACTGTTCTATGGACAAAGAGCGTTTAATTTGTGTGGAGAAATTTTCAACAATATGCACTGATATTTAGAAAACAGTCGTAGAATTAAGTTTTTTAGAAGCAGCCACATAACAGAGTACGCGCTTAGTGAAACGCCATCTTCCCAAGCTAATCTAGATAGCAGTTTGAAATCTTTTTAATGTAATGTTACTCGACAGTCTTGAAGATGCCATGTACTTTATCATTTCTGCATACCTCCGGCCAACTTGAATTTTCCAAGACAAAGTTGTTTTTTTTAAAAAAATACCTACCGGTGTTCTTCAACTGTGCGATATATATATATAATATATCTACGCACAAGCAAGACTCTATATGGTGAAAAAATAAGTAACCGCCACAATACATCTTCCCGTAAATGTTTTCTTTTGGTGTTCACACACGCCAAACCATTCACGAAACAAACAATTATTCTACCCGACAGGCCGAAATGCCTTGCAATCACTTCCGACCCAGCAATACTTTCACCGTTGGGTTTTAACCAACGCCGGTTGGCAGTTGCATATAGTCGTCGCATTTGCTGCAAAACTTACATGGAGCGAAACACACAACCACCCAGCCCAGCCAAGCTCTCCCCTATTTGTCCCGTACTTTTCTCTCCGTAAGAAATATGATTGCCACTTAAAAAAAAAAAGTAACCGATACGGACGATATACGTCAAGCTACGAATAACACGCCTCAATCTATTTACATTTGTTGGAAACTGCTGGCCGCCGTGTGTCGCTGTTAGGCGCCGCCTAGTGGTTCCGTCGCTCATACCCGCCTCACTGACTTCTCTTCTAGAGGCTCAGTTTGCGGCAGTTCAAAACGAAATTTTTCAGCCGGTTATAACCGGCAAGTTTGTCCTTTTTGTTATTCATGAATGCCGCTTGTTTTCATTCTTCCTTCCTCGCTCCCAAAAAGAGCGCTTTTCACGTACTACCGAGCTGACACATGTCGACCCTAGCACGTCTCTTTCGTTCTGTCATTTTACCAGTTTGCGAGTGACTCGGTGGGAAGGGTGAGCGACTCGTTGTTTGTTGACCCGCCCCATCCCTGCAGTTGCTATTTCGCACGTAGTGATACTCAGCGTCGGCTTTCTATCACGATAAAGCCGTGTGGTGCCGGAGCTAAAGAACACTCACGTTTCTTTTATACTGCTCCGTAGATGACCTGTATCGGTCTGCCAGCGACCACTACGGTAAGTGGCGGCATCCTGGCGCCGGCCGTTCGCGGTCTCGATAACTGGCTACTAACCGCTGGTGGCTTATGGTCGATTTCGGCTCACAATTGCTAATGTGAGGTCTTTCAATTAGTTCCGTCGCTGCTGTCTTCGTCCGCAGCGCCCTCTGTAAACAAAGCCCACATAGCAGTCAGCTGCAAATAAAACGAACGGTGGCGCCAGCACTAGCAGTAGCGCCCGGAGCATAACAGCCTGGGTAAAGACCCCGACCGACTAACTGCGCACTTTCTTCTCGACTAAATTGGCTGCGCGCTATTGCCGGTATATAGGCTCACGGTGCCACGGGCGTAGAGCAGCAGTAATACGCTTGTCCGAGTTGGCTGTTTAGCTGGCTACTCAATGGCAGGGGCTCTACCAGAGGCTGGAAGATGGAACACATTAACAGTGTGAGAAGGGACTACCCTCGCTGGCGGAGGCGCCAGCAGCAGTAGCAGCATCACGGTGACGAGCTTTGCGTCGTTTTTGGCCGGGTACGGCGGTGAGTCAACGAGACGTGTGATACAAGCCGATATACAAACACAGATAGAGGAACACATACATACGAACCATACAGAGATGCAGATAGATTGCCAGTGAGGATCAAACAGCGCCTGTTGTCGCGACATCCGTGTTTCAGTTTGCCGCGAACTAGCAGCGGATACACACGCGCGTGGCTTGATACTGTTTATTGCACTCTTTTTGGACACTAACGACGAGGAAAAATAATAGGAAGTCTAACCAGGAGAAGAAACAACGGTTCTTGCGCGAAGCATCAGGGAGCCAAAGGCTGTCGTGTTGGCTGGTAAGACACGTCGTATGTGCTTAACTTGTCAGCAGCAAAAGGGATCCGCTTTTGAGTTCTCGAACATTCTTGTACAACCTATTCGCGAGTGCTTACCTATTGGGCAGATTATGTGGAGCTCGCTAGCCGGCGGACTAGAAGACCAGGTCTGTGCGTAGATTATAGCTAGCGTCTAGTACCTCAAGTAGGAGAAAAAAAGGAGAATTTTTTTTACAGTACATCATTATAATCGAAAAATTTCAAGATTAGGAAATGTTGCTCATAGCGGTGATACTACTATATATAGGCGCAACTGTAGTAGTGAACGGCGATTATGGGTATTAGTAATGGCTTATTTATGATTCACTATTATTAGTACTCTCATTATATATAGGAATTAATTGTATTTTGTTGGCGCCAAATTAAAGACGATGTCGTACTCGATGGCTGTGTTTCGCACGTTAATTTGTGGTATAATTACTTTGTTTTTGTCAATCACTATCGGTTGATAATAACTTACGCATCGGCAATCATCCAGAATTGGCTGTGCGCTGTCAGCTCTACTCAATCAGCTGTTGTTAATGTAATAATAACGGTTCATTATTGAAATTGTGATTGTTTTACGTGATACATCGCCGGTGGCACGGCAAAGGAAATCAAGTTTTTTCGGTGTGATAATTTGCTCCGGCGCCACAAAGAAATTTTTCGACCGGAAAACACCAATTATGTGGAACATTTATATGTGAAAAATCATTGTGTAGTGATACATTTATCACCGTCAACGTCACATCATTGTCTACATCGGAGTTCAGCTCATCAATCAGTTCGTGATTTAGATTTTAATTGAAACACTGAAAAGTTGTTGACTACATTTTATTTTAATATCTAGGAGTCGTTAAATTTTACCGAAACAGAAATTATTATCGCCGTCGGAACGACGATAGCCTGTTTCGTTATGCGGGTTGACCAAATTGATTAACTTGGGGGATTTGTCCAATAGCCTAGGCTTGGGTTTACTCGAGTCCCAACGGAAGAATATCAGTCGAATTTATAAAAGCAAGCCGCGTACTGCATGCTACCCATTTCTACCCAACACGACTAACTGTATTTATGTCATATAGCCATCATTTTTTTGGCACCAAGACAGCAGTCATCCTGTTATTTTGTATTAAGCTAGCCTTGAAGGGACGTTTGTACCAAACCTCACCCCATCCATACTTATGTAGAAAGCAAATTAGCGGAAGTATGCACAGATAACTAGTAACCAGATTCTTCTGCACAAGACTGCAACTCATATCATTTTGCTTGACAATAACTTATGACTCCCAAGAGTAATGCGACGTTAATAACTTGTAAAACTGTACAAAGACATATCCATTAATTATATTGTATATTATATATTGTTGACTTGTATTCTGCCGAATATTTGTGAACACGTGAACAAGCTTTTGTTTTAATGCGGCGGCCATTGTGTTGTTATCGAAGGTCAACAGCCTGCACTTTAATATAAGCAAGCAATGAAAATCGCCCGCAAGAACTCCTTTAGTCGATATAAAAGCTATGAGTCACTATTAAGATGGTTGTCAACAATGGGTTGCTGATGATGACGCCGTAATACTCAATGCCTGTTTCCCTGCTTGATTATTCGCTGTGACTGTGCGATAAGCAGTAGCGTTGTCCACGAATCTTCTTCTTGTTAGCTCTAAATCAATTATCTAAACAGTTGTGTCACTGGTTGTTGAGTGGCGTTTTAAGTATTTGCCGGCATATAACGACGAGACGTACGATTGTGATGCCATCGCTTAAAGTCGCCACCCTTGTTTGTCTAGCCAGCGATCAACAGGCCGATAAGCGACTACAGAATTTTGGTTGGCTGGCTGGCGCTATTTTGGCGGACATATTTTTGCTGTATGGGATTATATAGAAACGGACCATTTTGTTGAAGCAATAGCACACACTTCTTCTTTTGTTGATTACTAAAAGAACTAATGTAACGCTTTGTAAGTGTAAAAATATTGACGATATCTTAAATTTGTCGTAATGTATAGCAGTGCTTTCGATATATTAGTAGACTCAATTATAAAATATACTACACTGCGTAATAGTCAATTTTGGGTTGAGGTAACTTGCTCGGATTGATGCATCACACGAATGTAGGATTTGTAGTGGTTCAGTATATGTAACATATCTATGACCATAATGTGATTACTGTTGATTTTTTCAACTACTATTACTAAATGACTTTTAGTTAGTATAAGCATTAGTTATAACTTGATTAGTAAATATAATTACTATTTACATTGCTTGTACTACTAAGTTATGTCGTTTCACAAAACATTTTTTCGCGTATTACAGGTCAGCAGTAAGGCTGTCTGTTTAATTTAACTATTCGGAAGGACCATGTTGATATGGCAGCAAAATGCTGGAGGAGTGCTTGGAGCAAAGCTTCACCAGCAATCGACTAGTGAAGGTGCTATTCTTGGGATTCTCGGGGTATGGTTTCCGTATTAGATGCCGAAGCAAATGCGGTAGATGAAACAACAAATATGACTATTTTGTTTGTAGCGACTGTCACTAAAAAAACTCCTTTCTAATCCCAAAGTACCAATATAGATGATATGCCGTCGTACCAAAATTGCAACTGTAATTAAATCTGCAAGGCCATGTTCCACATACATAGTCTTTGGCTGGATATGATTTCTCAAAAATATTCGATACATCTCAATATGCGTTTTAGAAGTGCCTACCAATTTGCATTTGAATACTGTACCCCCAATCAATATTTGATACCAATTGTTTCTAGCAATAAGATATACTTTTCAACGGTCAGATACACACTGTTCCAGTTTACGATGGCAATGGTATAATGCGAGCGGATACGTTTACGCGACCTGTGCCAGAGTAATAGTAGGTGCTATAAAATAAACGAAAACAATCCAATAGACTGTGTGTAGACAAGCATATATGCGTTTATCGAATATCCGCAACGTGTGAAAGGAAGTGTGCCTAGTCACGTGTTTTTAGGCTGGAAGGTGCCTTTCAGATGAAGTTAGATACGTGATACAACAGGGCTTCCCAGAAACTTCATCGAAACGTGCTTTATACACTGTAGACCAGTGGATAGAGCAATATTGCACGGCGTATAGGTATTCAATTTTTTGATAACTTTTACGAGACAGCCTTATGCTAGAGTCAATGGTATGATTTAATGTGTAACATTCATTGGATGGACTGGCTGGCGGTTGAAAGGGTTACTGAGATATTTAAAATGCGCGTGAAGATCTGGCGTTTGATTTATAATCTATAACTTGCGGGTACTCTAAGTTTGATATCGAACAAGTTTTAAAGGTTTCAAGATTTAAATGGCTGCGTGGGTTAGTCAAAGGTTTGTCACACAGAGAAAGTTCGTCTATATCAACTCTATACATGTGCTGATTCCAACCTCCACAAAGAAATTTCTGGTTGTTAACGCGGGCTAGATTGACCTCAAATTCCCTATAAACATGCGCCTTAATCTTCCTGTATAGTTATCAACTTGCACGAATTCGAATATATTTTTGATAGTCGGCTACCTGCGTAATGACCGGACGCGATAAATTCAATTTGCTTGTTTCTTGCCTATTTTTTTTACTACGTATGCCCTTCACTGGTTCACCCGAGCTGTTTTCCGTTCAATCTTGTCTTTCGTGCGACGTTCGTTTGCCAAAATGTTTAGCTGAATGCGGTAAACCGCTTGGCTGGCCGCTTTGCGAGTGCAACGCTTCGAGCAGAACTCAATGGAATCAACAATGTTCTGCAAAGAAACATTCTATGCAACGCGTTGGTCAGCCCAAGCCGCATCCGATGCCCACCGATAAAAAACTGACCGGCCAACCGAAAGAGTCACCTCCGCAAAGACGCGAACAAATGGTTATACCTGTGTCGATACCCATGGCTCACTGGAAAGAGATATTTGCGCAATGATCAGACGACGGCGCGTTGGCGACAACGACCAGGTTCGAATTGCGTAGTATGCGGAATGTTCTACGAGGAAGCTCTATGCGACCAAGGCAGCTATGTCGGTGAGGCTAGCTATAGCGACAACACAGGTACAACGATCTGACACGAGAACTTACTGTTGCTGCAACGGTGTTCAGCGAAAGCGGGCTATTGATGGCGAAGAAAAACCCTTTGAACGAAGCGAATCGCTCACAAATTGTAGATAGCAGCAAGCAAACAGCTTGGGTCGTCAAAGGATTTAAAAAAAAAACTATTTGATATTTCGAATCGACTTTTGGTAAGATTCTTTGTCTTCGTCATATTTGTGGACTCTGTCCTTATCAATTCGAACAATTAATCAAACTTATTGTATTTTGTGTCATGTTTCCCATTGCAGAAGGTGCACGAGGCATATGAATGCCTTTTCATCTTATTATTGTCGCTGGCTACAATCACTTTACATGAATGAAGCTTCAAAGCGGTTATCTCCGTCTTTTGATGATTTCCGATATTTTTAGTTCGTGCAGAGCTGACATTATGCTCCTGTACAACGCACTGGCTGTTGTTGATGTTAGTTCTTGTGTTTTTAGGTTTTTGTGGACGCCACTGGCCTGCTTCAGGTCGAAGTATTTGCGTGGGTATCTGGCTTACCTATGCTAAAATTAGATAAAAGCAGTAGCATACATAGAAAAACGTGGAGAAAGGAGAAGACGTCAGAAGCGTAGACACAAGCTATAAATCTGTATACGTGCATCTTCATTTATATATATATATATACAACATTTTTCAGAAAACGTGTTGCGTTGTTCAAGCAAAGCTTTCGACTTGTAATAGGTAGACTAATGCTTGCTGATAGATAAGTGAGTGAATGCTGGCGTATGAAAACAGCAGATGACTTTGATTCCAAGATACCAAACATAGCTTTTCTCCGGCGTAATTGTCATTCGTAACATAGCACAGACTGAAGCTTAGCCTATAAAACCATAATTACGTTCAATACCTAAACAAACTTATTTTTAGGTCGTTAGCCCATTACAAATTTCACTAATACATGGCCAACTTTTAGCATGTCTAACACCATCACTTTGCTGTTTGCTTCTACGACAAAAAAAAACTAGTAGCGGTACAGTAGCAGTACGAGATTAGCTGCTAGCTAGATCGTTCAAAGTACATAAGGGAAACAGCGCTTTCTCCGTAGCACTAGGAATAACATAGCATAGAGCTTTCAAAATAGTCAAGCCAACTGTTTATATTACTGTGCACAAGAACGTCTGCCAAGCCCTGTTTTCGGAAGAGGCAAGAAATAGCCGAATGTCGCTTCCGAGTCAATGAAACGCAGTTAACGGTTTATGCGGAGAGTTTGTCGGCTCAACGTGGTCACGCAGTTTCATGACCACTATCACGAACACGGAAAGATGATAAGAGCGGAATCCACCGAGAGGGGAGGGATATGTGGTCAAAGCAAAATCTAGCGTGGGCACCTCGGAACTGGTCAACAAAGTTACAACATCAACAAGGCTAGCTGTGTCGGATCTATTGTAGAAGACAGCCAAGAACCTCTTTTCTCTATTTTTCTTCGACCATCATTTATTATTATTAACGTTCCAGAAAGGTTTTACGCATTGAGGTTTACTCTGTCTCAACGATAAGGGAAGAAAATCACTTTTGCTGTAGCGCATGTGGTTGGTGCGCGGTCGTAGTGGTTGTTTTGGTGTTACGAGTCTACTTAAACGTCCATAAGCTCGGCTAAAAGTAAGTAATCACCTCTTATAATGCCCCAACACACGCCTGCCACCGCTTATCGTCGAGCAATAAATAGGTCGCCGTTCGACGTTCGTTCCTCTGTCTGCTATGAACTAGGAGATCGGATTAGAATGGAATCGGAAGACCGATTTAGGGCAAAGTGCTGACAGTCACGCTACGTTGTAGACGTATTGGCGGACTAGCGGATCCCAAAATGCCTGATCAGGTTGAGTCTTTAACGTGCAATGGAGTATTTCTGTTGGAGTGGTCGTATTGTATTGTACTGTAAACAGCATGCTCGTATGAGTTAGGATTAGAATGTTTAAAAAATGATTTAGGTTTCGCTTGCACTTATTTGTTTAAATTTATTTATGGTAGTAATGGTGAAAAGTTTTTTTGATTGTGTCAATGCATTTTAATTATGAAAGCTATACACGATCGTGTATCTTAAAGCCGCTTCGTGTACACGATTGACTCATTACCAAGCTGCCTTGTACGGGCAATCCAATTAATTTGGGTGGAGTTCTTTGTCTAGGTATGGCTTTCGTCGAGCGGTGACACGCCATACACGTACAGGAACGTTACACAAATATCCACGGTTTCGCAGGCAAGGCTATCCTATGATATTTGCGGCGTTACGTGGTCAGTCACTCGACCGAGTATTGTGTTGACAGATGCTTGTAGAGCTTGCGAGACTGTTGACCATCTTTATTGCGGCCGTTGGCCATTTCTACATGACTACACAGCCCGGAGCCTTATCAAATTCGTTGTCTGGTGTTGAGTTGCAGCTTGCAAATGCAGAAGCGAAGTCCATTGTTAACTCTTCCGTTAGAGGCGTATGCTTGTCTGTTCTCGTGGTGCCTGTTTCAGGTCGGGTACCGCTTAAAATAAAACCACGTATTTTTAACAGTTGTTGATATGATATAGGCTAGCTTCGGTATGCATATTTCGCGCATATAAAGATGCCCGGTCAGTGTATATATTTTATATATATAATCTGCGCGATATATTTGTACGCGTATAGGCAGACGACTTGTGTTTGCATTTTTTCGTGAGCCAGATGGTTTTTGTTTATTCTCTACATTTACGGGACTGCGTTGTTGGGCTAACTTCACGCTTTTCTTTTTCTAAGAAGTCCATAATCTTATTAAAAAGTATCTGTAAGTCTTGAGATATATATATATACATATATTTTTTTTTGAGCTAATGTAAAGACTCGATTCTAACCTATTATATCGGAATTGTGTAGGTAAGGTTTGCAATGCTCAGTGTATAGCGACAGACCTGTACACGAAGCTGAGTGTTTTCTGAGCACTGTTATTTTTCTTAACAGCCTAATGGCTCTATCATATTCAGTAACGTTGCTATATTTAGATTTAAATTTTCCAACTCGTTCTCGAATGAACATATTAGTTCGAACGAATATAATGTAATGACCTTCAAAATCAAAAGACATACCTTATATAATAAAAATATGTCTTTTGAAGGATTTACGGAGTACTGCCAAGCTCGTGATATGTATTTGCAGTTATGTTTTCTGAAAAACACACATCGAATGTCGCTCATTTGCGCGCATACTTTGTGTGTGTTGTAACTACACTTGAAGGTCAGAATGCCCTGAATACCTTGAAGGTGGAAGCAACATTCTTTCAGCCATATACTTAACCTTTTACACCATTGTGTGAAGGGAAATGTAATCGACCGCAAAAGTTATCAAAAGACAACCCTAAAACGCAACGCGCTACCACCCACGCCGAGCGTAGCGCGTAAACGATTGTTTTCAATGGTTGCAGCGATGACTGTCGGCTGTCTGACAGACACAGGACGGAAATTAGCAGTGGGTTGCAGTCAGTTATCCTCATATAGCGCATTGTTTTGATGGAACTCGATAGCTTTATCGCCTCATTTGCTGATTTCAGGTGGTGATCAGGTTCTACCGCAATACATTCCTTCCTTATATTATCATTATGGCGAAGTTATCATTATGGCAAAATTTAGCAAATGGCACCCTATCCTGGGTTAAGTATTGGGTTGCTATCCAAGCCACCGTATCGAGGCAAAGCGTAAAGAGCAGAGATGCGGATCGCTACAATGAGCGTCGTCTCGTATATTCCCATTGCATATTAACACGAAGGAATTATGTCAACAGGCTTGCTTTGTAATAAGACTAAGTGAATATACGACAAACTTAACTATTGGTCGCTAATCGGTTGGCAGTACGTTGCCAGCCGTGAAACCAGCCGCTTCCGAGGTTTCGCTGTGACTATTCCATTAAAGCAAACGAAGACATAGATTTGCTTTGTCAGCTATTCCATTGTGGGGAGTCATTGAAATCAATTTGAAGGTTTCCTTGCGCGGAGAATTACAATACCCGTTTAGAGGATCGGTAATGCCTAACGGCTCAAGTACTGGACGGTAACCATAAAAAACAGAAAACATATGATGCAGGACGATGTGCAACATCCCACTATAGAAAGCTCCCCGATAATCGGTCGCCACATGCTGAGAGCGTCGCTCGGATGGACTGTTCAGCTGCAAGAAAATGCATCATGCTAGGAGATGCTTTGTAGAAAAATGTCCGTTTGTGGACAGAGGCGAGTCGAGTTTATAAGATGAAGCAAGTGTAGCTTTCCGCGTCTAATTTGAAGATTTACAGGGACGAACCGAGATAATGATGTTGTTTGGTGCAGATTTAAGCTAGCCAAGCAATTGTTTCAAAAAAATGGCCCAAGGGTGAGTTGCCTGTGGCCGATGGCTTGTACATCCTACAGAGGAAGCTATACAAATGGCAGCGAATGGGAAAACTGGTTGTATAAAAAGATGCATTGTAAAACGAATATGAAGCGAAAGAAATACACAATTTCAAGGTCGGGTGCTATATGGGTAGGACGAATCACACAAGTGGTTTGTGGCCGTACGCATTAACATTTGAGTCACATGCTGAACCGTTAAACCCTAGTGAATATGTAGAGTCCTATATAGGCCTTATAACTCTGGTAGATATTCGGTGGTCGTATTGTGTTTCAAGCTACTTTTCAGCTATAGTCCCTTCTGTTTCCAGTTTTACGTCCGGTGTCCCCGTTAGGCATTCCATCAGACAACCGTCAGCACGAAACGAAGTCTATTTATCTGTGCCCGGGTTTGATCCTAGACCAGAATGTGTGCCTAAGATTAGCAGACAGACACATTACCCAACTAAAAGTCCTCTAAAGTAAATAGTTATGTCTTTTCCATGTCGCTTCAAGGATCACCAAAATGAGTCTTATTCAGCCTAGCAAAGATTTCTCCAACATATTAACAAGGTGACAAAATATCGGCAGCCCTTGTAACTTTTTTTCGTGGAATCCAGAAAAGTACATTCAAGTCTTACTTTTCGCTGAGTTGTACTTAAAAAAAAGTACATTCTTCTCGCCATATGTCAATGCTGATGTCTGAACCAGCTGTGGGGAAAATGTTTTCTGTGTACGGTGACTATGCGCTTATGAAGGTGCGTATTTGGTGCACATATTACGCTATATTTACGCTATATATGTAAAAATAATTAAACAATGGACGGTTACTGTGAACCGGTAAGTTCGTGCCAAAGCGTAAAACAATAACATTAATTATGACCTGTGCGAAATAAAACGGTAGTCTTTGTCCCTCCGGTCAATTTCTGCTATCGTCAATAATTATAGGCACCTCGCCAGTACAGTAAACGAGCAAAGTATAAAGTATGGGTAACTCTATATCCTATAAAATATATTTCGTACGTACCACAAATAGACAAATCAGCACGAAGTGAAATTTCCCGACCCTCTGCTTAGGATAGAGAACCCTAAAGTTTAACAGAATAAAATTGAGATCATAAACAAAGCTATATAAGACGACTGATCAATTTGTTTCCTTGGCAACATATCTTTTACTGCTTAGCATTCGGATTGCGTGTTGGAATAAAATGAAAGCTTTTTTTTTTCGTTTTTGCCTTTTTTTTGATCACGCTAGGTTATAACCAGGCTTCCGCAGCGGTAGACCTATATCATTGGTGCTTACATATCGAAGATAACGCATAGAAGTATGGTTTTTGGCACTTGTTATACGCATATCTGCAGTGCGCGCTAACGTACATGTTGTCGGTTATCTGTTCTAGAGATCGTATAATTAATTACCCAATCATTTTCTAGATATATTCGATTAATGTCGCGTTGTTACGCGAATCTTGTTATATCCTTCGCAAGCCATTCGGGTAGATAAAGCCAAGTTCAGTCCGAAAATATTTTATTTCACTACTTCCATAGTTGGTTTTGTAAACGGTAATTGTTTGGTTTTGTCTTATTATACAATTACTAATTTTTTTTGCTGCTGTGTATTTGAAGGTTCGCGTTCACAAATTCTCACAGTGTATGAATTTGTTCGTAGATCTGTTTGGTTACATATACAATTTTACATAGAGAGACAACGACGGTGGTGAGCAATATGATTTCGCAAGTGACTTTCTTCCATGACCTTTACCGCTCCGGATTGTCGGGATTCGTTGGGATTAGTTGGTGGGAGCTGCGTATTTCTGCACTTTGTTCACGTATCGACCGACATTTACCTTTACGCAACTTTATCTCTTCTAGATACCTCTGACCTGCCCGTTCTTCCTTCCATATAGGCAACTTCTTACTCGAGCTGATCACCGCTCTGCGGCTCTCACTTCGCGGTCTAAAAACGCCTAAGTTTCACGCCAGTGCCTAAGCCCTTCATCACCGTGTCACATGTCACTCACCAAACTGGTTTCGGCAGAAATAGATCACAGCTCCTTGCGCACAAGCATTGCGAGCTGTCCACGTTTGCGTTATAGTGTAATTTAGCAGAGGTTTGTGATCGAGAACTGTCGCCGGTGATTCATTGGCTGCTTGCCAACGCAACACCGGATAATACAATAGTTCTAATAAGTATGAACCCGATATGCGTTCTAGTTTTACTACGACTATTATTGATGTCATAGCCTCTACACCTGGTAGAAATTTAATGGTGCAGCAAGTTGGTACTGCGCATCGCGAGCGGTAGGAAAGAGACGGCTGGGAAACGGAGGAACGTTCATGCGTCGTATTCACGGTATGTGGCAGCGGAGACGGGTTACAGAAATCCCTCGATTAGTTTTTCGTTGTCAAAGCTCTCCATTAATTGACCGCTCGATCGTTGGATGTTTGCTTACACCGTTTTTCATTGAAGGATAGCGAATCACACGTGAATGTGAGACGTAACGAGCTGGAAAGGGTGAGTGAGGTTTTTGAAGTTGAATTTGATTGGTACAAAGCGATGGAGAAACGCCAATTGAGTAGTAGCTAAGGTAATGTCGAGAAGCTGTTGAGAATGAGAATCACGATCATAAGCAAGATAGTAACGATTTGTGCGTTGTCAAGGGTTTGTAAGGGCTGTAATTAAATCGATAACATTCTATGATGCTGTATATGGTGGAATGAGTTGTTTACATAGAAAATCCAAGTGGGTTGTTTGTGATCATAATCCACTATTCCACCATTGATTGGGTGTATTTTTGTTGAGCTCAAATGTAACTATAAAACTACTCATATAGTGGAACTGAGAAACGTCTACGCGACTAACCAGAAACAACAAACGTTGTGTGCATTCTATCATTAACTCAAATTCACGACAGTTAGAGGACGATAACGCCAAAAACATGCCACCTTCATATGTTTTCAAGTAAAGCATATCTTCGGACGTACACTTCTGGCAAACCTAGATTTCTTCCTAAATACATCAAGGTTTCAATCATTAGGTATTTGCTGAACAGCTCTTTTGTGCTGCCGGCCGAAACGTTACGTTAATGTTAATTAGGTTGGGATGGACTAACCAGTACTACGATGATAACTTTGAGACCCGGCAGCGATATGAAAAGTTCAAATTATGCCTTAACAACGGTGTCTTAGCGATTCTCTTTTTATTCGAGTGTTTCCAAACTCTTTGCTACGCAAAAAGAGCAAGATGGCATTCTGTGATCTGTGTAAGGTGACCAATATTTTCAGAGCGACTGTGTTGGCCTACAAGTAAAAAATTTTTAATTATTCCATTAAGGGGATAAGTGTCATAGCTTGAGCTATTTCGTTTTTAGGAGTTACTAATAACTCCTCTCGTCTGTTTTTCACTATAGTATATTTACAAAACTTACTTTTGCTTAGCAAGCTAGTAACGAGTAACTCAAGTGATTAAAATGTATAACTTTAGGTATGTTTTATGATCTCCCATTGTTCTTATGGTAATTACCCTCTAAGAGAATTATCATTAAAACAACAGACATTATTTTGTACTTATATACACAGATAACGACAATTGAATATGTTCATATCATATTTATATCTTGTAGTTGCCTTATATACTCACACATAATAATAATAATATCAAGGCATATCCTCCCATAGTGCACATTTTTTTCCACAGAACAGTTACAGAGCAGCCAGTTCTTGTTGTTTATTCCGGCATTTGTTTTTGTCAGGAGCTTTGTTGCCCGGACTAGGTCATTGTTAGGCCGTAAGAGAGAAGGCTGTTGCTGTTGCCGAAAAAAGCCTGAGGACAACACGGCCTAAAGCGACGATACGATTCGTAGTTGATTAACGACGATATCTTATTTTATGCCCTAGCTTCGCTCCAATGTGGTCGATGTAGCTAAGGGAACGGTAAAAACCCACAGACTTACCTTTAATCCCGGCTGATACTTCCTGTACTTAAAATAGGACGCTCCTGAGTACACACAACAGTCAACGATGGATCTTTAGTATAGGCTTGGTTTTTGGTATTATCTTTGTTGATAATAACCATTTGTATAGCAATAAATACGTCTATAATATGTATACGATATTTGATTGAGCATACACCAGTAAATCCATATATCCTGGATAGGTCAAAAGCTGCCTTAAACTGAAGCAGCATCCCTATTTACCGGGGCCCTATCCTTCGCACTAAGCGATTCTCAGTCCTGCTCACCATAGTTATCGTCTACATCACAACCTACGCACCATTCACGCGGATACGGTATTCGGGACAGACCGACACTTCCAGTGATTCTACTATCAATTTTCTCAGTTTTTTGTGTTGTTAAACTTTTTTTAACCTAACTATAATTTAAACGTTTTGCATCTCATAGGTTACCGTTCTGGTGTGTCTTACTTTGAACTTAAGCTTAAGTAGATCTTATAATACCACTGACTGCGCGCAGATACGCGCGATGACATACTACGCTGCTGTGTAATTTTACTTTATACAGTAGTTCAGGCAAGGCCTGTTTTTGCTCTTTTACTGAGACGGTTTCCTTGGCTAGTTGGCCAGTGGTCTAACGAAAGTTCTTTGCTTTGTAATTGCTAAATTTGACCTAAACGTTCTTTGCGGTAGTAGTTATACCATGCACCATGGTTTTGGTAAGTACACGGCTAACGGTTGCGTGTTTACTGATACATAAATACTAACCACCCTTGTCAGACTCTAATTTAGATGTCCATTCGATTCGCAAACAATGTAAAAAACCTTGTACTATCGATCTTTGATCTAGGGACTATCTTGATAGCTCCTATCTAACAGGCAGCCTCTGTTGCTAAATTGGACTTCACACCATCCCGAAAAGCCAACTCATTACCAGCTGTTTACCGCTTGCAGTCGATTACAGACATCAATCGATACTTAATCAATTACTTCCACATCCATCAACAGCAGAAGACTCAAAAAATGTTCTTGCTGCCATTTGTTACTCACTTGCTTTCCTTAATTCGTACGTATTTAGCACATGATATCACACAATCCTAGCTATAAACTACATTAGCGAGACTTCGTTTTTTCAACGAAAGTACCGCTTCGTTTTTGCCCCGCATACTCGTTTTACGAAGGTCAGTTCGTCGGTAAACATCAATGCACTCTGATATATAGAAAAATGGCGTTCGTTCTCGTTGAAATAAGAAACGCCTTTCTCAAACAGATGAATTACTTCCTGATTGTTTCAACATACTGGGGAACTTTCATTTATAATAATTAGCAAGAGCCGTGACGAGAACTGACGAAGCTGTTATACATGGTATCAATGATAGATTGTATCAATTTCTCTCGTTTAATGAAATATTGGTGTCATAAATTGTGATCTTTCGCTGAACAGAGGCGAGTTGCAGAATCTCGGTCGATCAGATTCATTTTTAGTCGATTCTCCGCGACAATAATACCTTGGTGACGGTGAGCGAAATAGCTATCAATACTGTCGAGCTACGATTCGTCGCAGGGCTTAAAGGCATCCACTTTCCAGACTATACCTGTTCGTTATTTCTAGTTATTGGAGTTCAATTCAATTGTGATTGTCTCATGAGCTGTTTTGTCGCTTCTGTGATTCCGTTTATAGCAGTTGTATAGGTAAACAATGTCTATATCAGTTCATAACGCTAGAGTCACAAACAAATTTAAGTCATCAATTTTTCATTTTTATGTGTGAATTTGTGTGATTTTCAAATGTGTGATTGTGTTTCAGTTGATGATCGATGCTTAATACGCGTTAAGCAAGGAAAAATCGATTTCACTCATTGAAGAACATCGTTTAACATCCGCCCAACTATAGACCATATTACGTATTTGTACAAAGAAAAACGTCTTCGTTGTGCGACAAGCCCAATATCAACTTATCGACGTGTACGAAATCACCTTAACGTGTCGTGATGTCAAGCCCAAATAGCGCAAACGATATAAAAGGTGGAATGATTTCCAGCATGATCCGAAGACATTCTGCCGACGACGCTGCGCGAGGAAGCTTTTTCTTCCGGAGCTTTACCGGTATGCAAATCCCCTTTGCGTTATCACTCATTAATTTGTTGACGTCTTAGCTTTTATGACATACACACAATCGTTTGAAAGGAATGCTCATCTCTAATGCATAACTTATGTTTTGAATCATAGATACTGAATTTTATAAATATTCTAAAGTATTATAAGATAGACATGCTTGATTAGCGTGAACATAATAAAAATATACTATTTCTCTTACTAGATACCCTCTCTCTTACGTCATATATATATATGACGAAAAAGAGAGGGTATGTAGTTAGAGAAATAGTACATTATATTATATATATATATATATATATTATTTTGGCTCTTTGCATAATATTGCAATTATGTAGCATTTGCCCTACCTAACTTCCGAGTCAAATGTCCAAGTGGATTAACCGATGTTCGTATTTTTGACACTTAACGTGTTGTTTCAGACACCCGAGATCGGCAGCGCACTGTATCTGAAGTCGTCCCGGAACACTCCACAGTGGGTCCCAGCGAGACATCGCAAAAGGAAAGGCGAATTTCTGTGATGTCGCTGAGTCCTATATAAACAAATTATGGGCACCTTTAAAGACCACCTCTCTACAGTGCCGCGACATGGACTCAATCGGCCAACATCGCTAGCTGCTTCAGGTGACACCGGGCGAGACGGAGCTATTGTTTGCCACCATTACCGCCATTATACTACCGAACCGGCGAACATTGCGATAGGTCTAGAGATCCTCGACAAATGACACTCGCGTGCAAACGGTCCATTCCTTCATGTCAAATAAGCGACTCCGAATTTTCACGTGTCGCAGAAGTTGGAGATGATGCCCAGTGAGTGCGAAGGAGATTTGGATCATTAGTGGAGAGGAAACCCTTTGAAAGGAGTAAGAAAATCGCTACGCTCATTCCCTAACAAAGACCGCAGTGACAAAAAAAAAAACTCAAGAAAACCCAGATTATGTCAAACAGTTGAAATATGGCATGCTATTGGACTCGACTATTATTTGACCCGCAGGTCTAAACATTTAAAGAAAATTTTCTCTAGAGGAAGGAATTAAGCATGACATCATAGTGGTAATAACTACACTACTTCGACCCCCACCATTAGCGTTTTCTCTAATTGGCAAAAATATATTGCCAAAGATCAGGAAAAGATGATAAAAAGATAAAGTTTTTAACCAGTCAGTAGCCAGTAGGAATCCGAAGATAGGATAAAAGTCGTAGAGCTCATATACAACTGAAGCATAATGATTATAAATGTGATAATAGCACCTTCGGGTGAGATGGCCTTAATACCTATCGGTGTTACAAAGCTGTGGAAAAATTGTACAGCGAAAACAGACAAAAGGGAACAGATGGAAGAAGCTTGTTCATATCATAAAGCAGCATAATACCTATTTTCCCACACACACTTGATAACATGGTGCAAATGACGAAAACAACCATGTCTTACCGAGGTCGTCGATAGGAATCGTCTTGAACAAATTGATGAGAAAATGGGGTTCTTCCTGTATCTTGACTGGAGTACAGATTATAAAAAAAAAAAACAATTCTGTTGATGACACTTAAATTAGTCGATGGCTTACCTGATAAGTAACGTAGTCCAGCCGATAGCGGTTATCTAAAGTGCATCACAAATAACTTCAAATACAGTTGCAGCGCTTTTGCGATTGTTCCCGCTAGATGCCTGTCTAACCATTGTTAGCGTCAGTTGATCACATTCTCACTCAACCTAAAATAGTATTGCATGTTGCATACACAAGTAATCCCTATCCTGTGTAAAGATAGAGTGGTTTGCTTGGCCATAGTTTCTGACCAGCAAAAGGAGATCCATGTATATATATATATGTATTTATACATATATCATTAGATTACTTAACAGGAGGTAGCCAACGGTAAATATGAGATGAGGTGTCGTCGTGCGAGAACGGCGGTGGATGACATGCAGATCGTCTGAATCGAACTCTTCTAGATAACGTTGTAGCTTAACCATACCACCGTACGCCTAAATATATACAAACACTATTTATTTTTGGAAGGCAATTGATAACGGAAAGTGAAGCTGATTTCTGAGCACTATTTCTGAGCACTGTTCGTCGTCGCAAAACATGGTCTGCGGGTGCTTCCGAAAGATTGATTCCTTCAAATTCAGTGACCCGGTGCAACGCGCCGAACGGTAGGCAGAAAACAGTAATAAAACAGATACCCTTTCCCATTGACTCATGGAAAGGGATACAAGATTTGCTCGAATGTTAAGACAAAAACCTACATGATATTTTTAAAACAATGTGTGTAAACTAACAGGAAATAGGCTAAAGCAAACGGCTCCAAGGAAGATAGAAAGTTGATGGGTAATTAGAAATCTTAACCATGGATGTCTGTACGACGGGCACGTCCATTGTGCCCGTTTTCTCGAAAGAGATCGATCGATTGATTTTTCGAGAGAAATCAGTTCAAAAAAAAAAACAGTCGATAACTTAAGGACATACAGCTTAGGGAAAAATACATTTTCTAATAAGATCAGATAAGTAGAGAGAGAGAGAAGCTGAAACACCGTATAACATGTTAGATAGTTGGGCAAAGGTACGATACAAACCGATAAGTGTGGTTTCATGATTGCTTCAACAACAAGTTAGTGCTCTACGCAAATGATACTAATAAAAAAAAAGGCGCGTAAAGCGATTGGTGGACCACTCGTACTTTATTTAATTATCATAATCCTATCAGCCAGTTGCTATATCCTTAGCGTATCCTTACGACAAGTGTCGGCAATATTAACATAAATTTTCTGGCAATAGAATTGCGTCGAGACAGAAAATCGGAAATCGCCTACGGCCATTAGACTAACGTTACATTGTCGTACATTCGAGAAGTTGTCTAATGTAACGAACAGCTAATTAAGTACGGGGAGTATTGACTTGTCTTAATCGTACGAAAATGTACGCCGGCAAACCAATGGTGTCAACTTATCCGTAACGATGGCAATGAACTGCAACAAAGCGTAGTTGAGAGATATGAAACACCGAACATGGCTGAAGCTGAAAATATGGACAAAGTACAGTCGAGGGCAAAGGCGTCGCGGAGACAACCACATCAAAAGTCATCTATTGTCACGCTGTTACATTCAATTCATTTGATGGTTTTTTTATGGAAGTAATTATACATAGGCAATAGCTACGCAGACATACATTGGGGCAGCAAGGCGGGGCAGCAAGGCAGGGCAGCAATTGTAGTTACGTATAGCGTATTATTTCGTGTGCTATATCGGACACGTCAGGATAGAAATCAAGCGTCTATAAAAAGGAGGAAAACACATTAGATAACGGAAGACAGCGAATCATGCGGAAACGCGAGAAATATATTGGTAATTGGTTCGACAAATGTACACTCTAACTGTACCTTAATACGTCTCGCGTCTTGCGTGCTTTTAATAACACGCATACATAATTTCAGAACATTAATTCACATTTTATAAACTACTATTTTTTTTACCAAAAATTATAGGCATTCCTTTTAAAATCCTAACATATGATAAAATGAGCATTTTTCAAAAAAGTTATCAGAAGGTTGTAACGTATTATGATCATTGGTATGTGTCAGTCTAGCTATCCCAGTTCTCGAAGGCGTTTGATTGTACATAGTGAAAGATACAACGTTACACGCTCGCTGCTCAATTACACATAACGTATATAGTGGAGTACACGGAGAAACTTGCAAACAAGAGTATTTATCGACCAACACAATATATAATAGACACGCGTTCGAACGAAGCCGTCTCGATAACCTCCTGTCGAGCTTCAGAGGAACATCACAAGGCTCACTGTAAAATATAAGGCAGTAATGCTATATAAACAAACGACGCGTGAAAGAGAGAAAAGACAATAAAACAGATGGACCAAAAAACAAATACGAACTTGCATGATCTCATCATTTTGTGTGTTAACTATTAGACAGTATTGGTTCAATGCAACCCATTTTCTACACTGTGCAAAATTAAAGACTATCTAATCCTTATGTGCCTAACCTTTGTATATATCTATATACAATTACGTTGTTCTCTACTAGTAATGGTTAAATGTTAGGATTACAGTAATAACAGAACGGAACGATATATTCACAATTGAATATTCAAGAGATTCTGGATACTCTTGGGGATGTATTGTTTTTGAGCATGGTAAATTTGACAAGCTTAGCTGACAAAACGAATAGAAATAACGTTATTATTAAATTAAAAAAAAAAAAAAAAGGTAATAAAAAGCGTTAAATGGTAATAAAAAACACGGTCAGAAAGACCAATATATTTTCTGTATTAGATTGTTAATAACTCGCCTATCTGAAAGTATTGCTTGAAATGGTTCAATGCCAGAGCGCATACGCTAAATATGTGATTTATCGCAAGGACTCATTGACACAACTGTTCCGTTATAGTTTTTATTTGTCTATTATTTTTTGTTTTATTAAAAACGACTCCCAAATAGATCCGCCTGAACTGACAGAAGTACTGAACAATTTTTTAAAAATTTCAGATGATTAAGGTGGCAAAATGACACCGTTCACATACTGAAGTAGATAGTCGCCAACACTAAGATATAATCATTTTTGTAATACTAGTTCTAAGTAAAAATCGAAGTTTACTCGAACTCAGACGTTATGTTGCTATGAGTCATGATGGCTTAGCGATAAATTAACATGAAAAGGATTGTGTGAGTATAGGTGTTTTTTGCAACACCGATGCTGTTGTACAGGTTAACCCTGAACCTTGGGTCGAATAAGCGACCTTACTATGTCTTATTAGTATATCTATAGGGGGTATTTTTGCGTACCTGGCAGATTTTTGAATTTCCGCGCGGATTCACAGTCGAACAAAAATAACACCTTTTGCTAGCTTCAACTAGTTAATCGGAGAGCGTAGTCAAATGCTTACTTTGTGATAACTATGTATCTTCACTAATTGCATCTGAGTGATCAAGAAAAAAAACAGCGGAACCTTTCCAAGATTACAAATTTGCTTATGCTATATAGCATCTATTTAGAATTTACAGATGTATTTGAATCACGGCACAGTTGGATTTTTGTCTTGATCGTTATTTAATCACTATATATGTGAAGACATAGCAGTATTATATCCTTGTTCACCACTTTTTATAGATATATCTGCTGTAGAGTATAATAAATAGACGTGAACCCTCCGTTGTGTCGAAAGCGGTAAGTTCATAACGTTAATTACACTTAGTACATGTTTCTTTTATTACTGTCGAAGATTACGTTCGAAACTGACAAACAGGGCAGACAGATATATTTGGTACTGTTTCATCAACAGATTGAGAATAATACTTAAAGAGTCGCCTCTATTTAGATATTTCTAGTACATCGTTGTATAATCTGCATTTTCGGTAAATGGGAAAGAGTTCTAACAGTATCTATTTGCCTGAATATTATCTCACTACAGCTATAACCGAAAACCGTCAAATTTTACCATGGTAGAATTCTTCCGAGAAGTTTTCTAGTCGCTCAAGACTACGAATTTCGATGGCGGTTGCCGTATTATCAGGAGAGAGATTTTCATGTCGGGTCAAATAGTTCCGATTCCGACTAGACATACGAACTATGGAGTAACGTATATCATATATATATATATATATATATATATATATATACACACGTGTATCTGTGTCTATCTTGGTATATATATATATATATACACACAGCTGTTAAGAATTCTGATAAAACGCGACGTGCAGATTTCAACGTTTCAGGAAATTCACACGTTTTCTATAAAATCGAGACTGGTGATAGAATCGGTCTAGGTACTACACAGGAGACTTTCCTGCATTGTGAAAACCCATTGACTAATGAAACGGTGAAGCACCATTCTTCAGCCTCCTTCTAGAAAAAAAGACGAAGCTTTGCATGGGCTTTTTTCAGAATTAGAAAATGACGATGTTAGTCACTATAACTATAATAGCCGTATACAGTATAGAAAGTTTCGTCCCAACTAATTCAGGCCCCACTAATAATTAGCTTTTTCTTACTAAAGGACCCAATCGGAATCGCCAGGAACTGTTTCGGTGAACGGTACACTAAACTGCAACGACTGTCCGCACACAGGCTGGTGACCGTATGTTAGTAAACGCATAAAGCATAGGCCGGGACAAGCCTTCTCGCCAAACGCAAGACTTTCCCTAGCAGAAAAAAATCGATGATAGGTGTCAGGTCGATAGTTTCAGGATTAGACCTTACCGAAATACGTTATATAGTGCTACTTGACGTCGCTACAATTATTCATTGTTGAAGCTTAGTCCAGCGCGTTCGACCATCGTGGGGCAATTGATGCGTTCGAAGGCGGCTCGAAATTTACCTTTATGAATTTTTTTTGCACCGTGCTAGAATAGATACTGGATGAAACTGACTAAGGCCTTCGGCGAATAGTCATTGAAAAATAAAAATTAGACCAAGCATTGCTACAGCCAATATTCGATATTTATGTTTTTTTAGATAGAACAATGGGTGAAAAAAGCTATAACTCCCCATAATTAATAATATGGTTATTGAACCAGTGAAGCCTTTTATGGACGCGCATTTGGGGGCACAGTCTAATAACTGAGAAAAAAATCAGCCTGTTCTAAAATCGAAGAAAAAAAGCTGCTTCAGCTATTTTCATTTTAATCAAATCGATTCTATCTTAAACGCCTGTTATTAACGACTGGATCTTTTACGGACGTGAAGTAGGCGCACACCTCGATGATCCCGAGTTGCCTGTTTTCTATTGCCGTTACCGCACCGGTAATAAAGAAATCGATTGAGTCAAGGTCCACGTCGGGCGCGATTCAGAGAAGTGTCAAGTAGGACGACAAGCAACATTCGAAACACGAATTGGGGAACACAGTTCCATCAAATAGAGCTCAAACAAGGCACTCACTACCAAGTTTTTGATAATTGCATCGACGATGCCAATATGAAACCCAATTTGTACGAAAGTGTGAAGAGGGGTGACCCGTCTCAGACGTTAGAATTGAACAAAGCGGATATCTTCTTGGATAGGATTGAACTGTTTAGACAATGCTTTCTCATTCGATTGTGACAAGAGATAAGTGAAATGACTACATCCGTGCAGAGTATATCGACCGCGATGGATACCTCGAAACTCGCCAAAGAACACAAGACTGCATAAATGGATTCACTGGTGAGACACGTAAGCAAGAGCAACCCAGTCGTACCGCTTCTCTATTGTAGCTTTTGTGTAAGACAACACCTATCGGGCTCACAGGAAAAGCCGGCCCCAGCGTCGACAAAGACGCAACGGTTCATCTAGCCTCTGTTCCGTATTGTGCGTATCTTCTGACATAGCATGCACGAATATACGCATGCACGTCTACATATAAATTATAAATATGCAAAGAGTAGCAGAGCTTCAATTTTTCAAACAAGCTTCGATTTGACGATAAGAGAAAAAACCAGGTTACAGGAGATTTCATGAGGTGTTTGTTAGAGCTCGACGGACGTTGACCCGTTGTAATTTCTCAGAAACTTCAAAAACACGACGTGTTATTATATGCTGTCTTTTTATATAAACCATATATCCTTCTATTAATAATTTCGAGGTATTTCAAAGAATGATTTTCATACTTTTGAGGATTAGCCTGAGCATACACAACCATGTATGATGCAACAAATGACACTGTAAAAAGTGTACACATTATTCGTCGCATTGGGATCGTAAATCGGCAATATCTAGAAATAGATATCAAATACCCCAGATGAAGTAATCAGTTGCTACACGATAAATCATATAGTATACACATTTAACAAAGCACGCAATGAAGAGCTGGCGTCCTAGAGATAAAGGTAAATTCCTATTCATGCGTAAGTAAGAAAACTGTTATTGTCCATGGTCTTAATTAGTTGGCCTGATTATCAGAGACATTATGTTGAAGTTAAGAATATGGACAGGGTATTTTCCGCCTAGACACAATATACACGTTTCGATTGTGTATAGTTAACTAAGCAAGTGTTTAGTTAACTATATACAATCGAAACTAAATTTAAATTGGTTAACGAAACTTGTTTAAAAACGAGATTTTCATAAGGAGCGAGAGAAGTTAAATTAAAATATAAGCAATTTCACATGAACACTTCGATGACAACACTGCGAAGAGGTTTCGGGAATGCCAATGATCAGCTTCAACACATAACCATTTGATATTAGCTAGGATGAGTAAAATCATACTTGACAAATAAATCATGTCAGCCCCTACGTACTTTCTTGTATTTTCGTAAATTTCGTTAACCGTGGTCAATACGCGACGGCAGAACGCACACGACCCAAACAAATAGAATGATGTACGAATTTTACTATGATACATCGAGTACCTACCTGCCTTATGCCATTGTGCGCCTCCAATGAGTACGAGTTATTTATTTACCACACATTCTCTCCATTAATGGGAAACACACCAGCATAAAACTGCCGTATCTGAAACAGGTCGTGGTATGCACACACTTCACCCCTTAAGTTTTTAAGTTCTCTGCAACATCAAAGCGTCTGTTGATAGAGTAGTTAAAAAGTGTGATTTGCATTATTTATCTATCTGTGTGTATTTAGAACCAGGGTAAAACCAGGAAGGAATAATCGCAGGTATCTTCCATGACCTCCCTGAAAATAACGAAATAAGCCCAAGAGTTGACTTGATCCCAGATATGGGTAAAGTAATGAGTTCAGAATATTGAGTCATACTTAGAACTATTATTTAGTAAAAGGTTATTATTATTAGTATTAATATTGACTTCGATTTTCTCAGGCCTCTCGTATGCTAAGCTAAACATTGATAATATCCTAATTATGACAAGTTCTAATCTGAATGCTGTGCATTGTGATTTGCAAGTGGCAGCTCGTATTAACCTTTTACTCCCTCCGCAGTCATCACAATCTTCATCCATTAATGTTACTCTGCAACTGTGACATATACGATATTGTTTTTCACGTATCTGCTTTTTCTATGCCGTTTTCCAACATAGGAAAGCTTGTCCTACGTTGCTCCGTTCAGGCCTATGGTTCAGCGTTCAGTATAGCAGACCACTGTGGACACTTCGGCGCTTCAGTGACGAAGGACAGCTTTCCGGGTCCTGAAACTAATCCGAAACATACTAGAGCCCGGCTAATGGGAAGAAAAATATCAATAAACTATGATACTTTACATATGCCCTAATCACATAGCGCTGCTTTTCTCTAGCTCAGATCGTAGCTTCCAATAAGCGTCATTTAATGATTAGTAACCTTACGGCTAAGATCCCGCAAACCTTATGAGTTCTTCTGTGGTCAACCTACACCTAAGACCGTGCTACGCGCAAGCTTGTATATAGTGGACGCATTGTGCAAGGGGCTTCAAAATCTACAGATAGGTTACTATTCACTGTTACCTTAAAATGCCCGGGGCTATTGCTAAGATGAGAATGCATCGATAACAAAAGGCGATTGAGTCGATGCGGATAGCACCTGAGAGGGTTATCGGTCGTAAACAGGGCCGAAAATAAAAAAAAATTTCAGAAATAAGTAAAAAAAATCAAATAAAAATTCAAGAGATTAAGGCCAGAAGAGATAAAGTCACGATCATTTCGTGCAGTAAAAAAAAACAGTCTACCTATATGAATACGCGCGTTTGGGTACATGGTAGGTGAATAATAATAATGAGCCTTACGCGGATGATCTAAAGGTATAGGGCCTGTCTAATAATTTTGACTGACGTAATGTCGAATTGGTCGACAACGAAAACGTTCATATCACTATCTAATTGCGCGACTTTATCGTACGGTCAATACGATTTTCTTTACACCCCCAAAAGACCGCCGCGCTCTGGCAGCGCAGACGGTTCGTTTCTTACACTTTGACTATGTTCTTCTACGGAGGCAGTCCGGAAGACCAACTCTATTTAGGATACAACTTTTCGTATATGCGTGACGGCTGTTGGGCTTTTTTAGTATGGCACAATTTATAATAGCTTAACTGAGCTTCGATAGATACGATTTTAATGTGTAAAAATGTGTCATTGTGCTTGTTGGGGCAAAGAAAACATTTACGTTAGGCGAGTGAGAGTTTACGGATGCCGACGCCACTGAATAGACTGCGCAATGAAGATTATCTCAGAATGCTGCGGAAACTGGGAGAAGCAATTTCTAGCTCTCTGATATGGGGTAAGTAGCAAAACAATAGGTGGCGGCGATGTGTACAATCGTACCAAGTACCATAGTGACAGTTTCGTTTTGAATTACGTTTACTGAGGTAGAAGTCCCCCTACTTTTTGTAATAACAGTAAATATCATCATTTTCATTTTCTTAATCTTTAATGTTTTACTATTTGATGTGGCTTCCTTTTAGTTCTCTGACAGGACACGGGTACTATGTATTCTCTGTGCTAAATCCGTACTTTTGTGTTATTCTCTGGCAGGGCGAATTTTTAAATGGTTTGAGAAATGCGTTTTCGAAGCACCTTGGATTGGTACCCAACAAAGGTCCATTACTTGTACTATGAAAACTTGATCCCGAAATCAGGATTCAGTAAACCAAAGCATGCTTTTGACAATGAAGTAAGTTAGAGAGTGGAATACGGTTGGTGATCGTAATGACAAAATGAAGCCACAGAAAAATCTAACTAGAAAGTTCTTTTTTTAGTAAAGTTCGCATCGCGTTACTTCACAAATCTGAACTGCTAATTACCTATTCTTCTGTATTACGTATCAATATATAGCACATATTTACGTCGTGTATACTTCGCGCGAGCTAAACGTTCGTTGTAGTATACAATAGTGAAAGCACTACTTCAACGTCTGCGTTTTTTTTTTCGGGTTTGTGGTGAGTTTTTGTATTTTACGCTTGGTGCATATTAAGCTGTTGGAATAAACACAAATCAGTCTACATATTGAATGTCCATTTATTCACTCGATTTTGTCCGCCTCGATTGCTGCTTCTAATTAGTTTCCACCATTTTTATTTTCTCTTCATTAACTCGATTCTGATTCTTGCCTATTTTTTATAAATTACAAAGCTCACGCGTTTTCCTGGCTCCAGCTGTGTTTTTCTTCCACATACGTATGATTATATTTCAACTTCTTCGCACTATCAGGCTTATCTCTTTTGCACACACCTATGTATCGTAAATAAATCCGTATTACGGTAATTTGTTGGCTGTTTCTGTTTAGGCTTGCTTCCGTATCTCGTTTCTTAGCAATAATTTGTTGTTGCAATAGGCCAGGAGGCTACCAACGCTCCCCGCTGTTATCCCTTCGTTTTCATTCTGTTTTTTTTTTACAATAAGTTAAATATTTTACACTGCCTCTATGAACAGCCGCCTTGATCGCGTCTACTTGACGTGCCTCACCGCCCGAATTTTATAGTGTAGTAATAGTGTGACCGTCACCTGCGATTGTATCGCGTTCGACTTGCGTAACGGCACGTTTTCGTGTGGATAATTTTAGATGGTTCCGAAGCGTCTATGATAACCTAACAATAACTCTGCTTTTCTGACGCCTACTTTCTGCCATTCTAAGTACAATGGGGTCAGCGAGACGCAGAAGGTGCGACTATGGCTTTTGTTCTTGCTTTATTCCAGTTGTCAATTTTATTATCAATATTAATAGCATTAGTATCATCATTTTTTTCTGTTCTACTGCTCGAAACAACGTTCAGCCATCCTCTCATTTTTCATCTACACATATTTAATTCTTCTTTGTGATTTTTCTTATTTACAAGCCGTCCGTTTCCTATTTACACCTCAACGCTTAAAGGTCGTCCCCGAAAGTCCCGTTGTTCCGTCGCCATTTTCTAACCTGATTTCTTTCGAGTTAATCCGACTGACAAAACAAACATTTGTTTTTTACGCGGCAGCTATATATTAAAAATTAAGCATAGTAGTACCAAGGTGCCGTGGACTATTATATTGTCTTTTAGCAGCACGTATGTAGAACAGTTTATCCTTATTGGCTAGTTAATTATATAGATATTCTGCTAAATTTCCTTACCAAATTCACAAAGAATCAGTAATTTTCTCTTCTGTATTAAATGAATAAATTAGCGAACATGTAGTGATTTTCAATTGAATAGTTAACCATTGGTCTGTTTCGAGTGGTTCGCCCATGAAAACGACTAAGCACCGACTTACCATCGTGACCTTTATTTGTCATCATCTGCGCTCTAAAGCGCTCTTATCACCATCGGCCTGTCATCATATTCATAGTTAGGATCTTGATCACGCCATTTGTGATAGGATAGTGACTTGGTGGGCCAAGGCCCATAGGCACACAATGCTTGAGACAACAGTTATCATACCAATTCTACCGCCTTTGGCTCGTAGTAACGTCTCAAGTTATCGCAGCACAACGGTGCTGGTAAAAACTCGATCTTAGTCCAACAGCCAAACGTCATAAGTTGTTCACCGCAGGGCTGGAATAACCTTTGTCTTTATCGTTTTGCTTTATAACTATTTGCTAACCTCTAAAGTTCGTCTATCATTTACTCTCATTTGCTGTTTTGTCTGGTTCTGTTGGGTTACCAGTTTTGCAAGCGTTTTCAAACGTTCGGGAACTACAACGACGAAGTTGTATTTAGCTGACGAATAAAAATCGATAAAGCTTAGCCGGACTGGGATCCGCGTATCTAGCGATTTCGGTGTCATTATATAAGCCAGCTCCATATCATTTGTCGTCCTGTATGTGCAGCCTTCCTGATCTGCCCTAAACGCTCAGACATCGGATCCGCTTCACCGGCACCCTGCTTCTCCGGAGCCGTCTCTCGCTTTATATATATATATATATATATATATATATATATATATATATATGCTCTGATACTTCGTGTAGTTTCTATACTACACACCTTAAAAACTTCGAACTGCATAAGTTTTTACTCTCCATAAGATTTTTTCCTTCCTGATCAGAAAGAGACGTACACATATACATATTCGAGTTTACATTGTGTGGTACAACAAAGCGTCCATGGAAGTTGTCATTTGTCAACTCCTTTCATTTAACCTCAGCGCTATGTCAATGTTGCTTTCAGGATACCATAGATAGATTTATCTGGTTTAACTTATACATCTTTTCTCCTATTTCTGTTTCCCTGTTAACAACAAATATGACATCTGCATCATGCAGACGACATCTCTGCTTGGGTTCCTTCTGTGCATTTAGCCAACACGGTACCGTTTAGTGGCATTTGGGTTCTAGCATTGTCACTTGAGTTTCCTTAGCCGTCCGTTCGACTGAACTCAGGCCTTCATATCTCGCTCTGTCCGTCCGATAGTACTAGTGTATTTTCCATATGTATATATCTACATGCACCGCATTCGTTCATCATTGCCGGTTCATCACTAAAATCATCGACATCATCACCCTATATTTATTTTTATCGCTATTTTGCTATGTACAGAGTTCAAGATTATTATGTACAGGGCATGTTGGTTGTCTCCGCTTCGATCTTCTCACATACATAGAGAAAATGATAGATTGATTTCTTTTTAGCGATTTTCATCTCATTGTATGTATCATTACTCTGAATCGATGTTGAGCTACGTCGGTATATCCCTCTCTTTATCATGATACCGTTGCTACCTTTGAGTTACTTTTTCCGGTGACTCCCCCCGTTTCCAGCTGTTTCTAATTTAGCTGGATGGAATTAGACTGGAATTCTCACTGATTAACTACGTTTCAACAGACCGAAGTCGGTTGGCCTTCCATCGTGCAGGCGACATTATGCAGCTTATGGGCAAGATGCATCGTGTGGCACTGTGGGTCATTGTCAAGGGAAAGCAAAACGTGCTCACGATACTTAGCCGCGTACACGTAAAGTTCTTTGACGGCCACGCTGGCGTCGAACTCGCCGCCGTATTGCAGACTTAGCTGTTGCAAATGGACGCAGAGATCTTGATCGGTGACTGTGGGCATCATTGCTAGACAATGATAAAAGTCACAGACTTTCTTCCGGTAGCGTGGGATGTCTTTAGCGAAGAGCAGTTTATTCGACGGGGAGTCCTTACCCAAACGATGTTCAGTCAGCGAGCAGGAGTCCATTAGGGTTTGGGCGATCACCGACAGGCAGCTATCGACGATTGGCGTCTTGTTCACGTCGAGTATGAAATCCGGGTTCTTAATAAAGTTCACCCAGAACCGCAGCGGAAGACAATTAGACTTCCATGCATGAGGTACTTCCGAATCGGTAATACCATGTAGCATCGAAGCTTCATCAAGCAGATCAAACAGCCATTTAATGGCGGGCGGGAGCGCTTCATTCGCGGATAAAATTGTTGTAAAGAAATCGTCCACGTACTTCTGGATTGTACCTTTAGTTGACAACAGGCGCGTGAGAAAGATTTCCGGAATGGCTTTTGTATACGCCTGGTCATTCTTCTTATCATCGTCGTTCTTCACGAGGTGCCAAAACTTAAGGCCGTTCTCCATATCTGATTGTGCCGATGACGACGTGTGACTGCCGCCGTGTGTTGACTTAATTGTAGCGTAGACGTTCTGCATGGTATTGTGCTGATTGTTTGATAGGACAATATTTGTCATCGAGTTTAACGTCATGTCGCCGCTGTCTGTAAAGCGGACCAACATAAAATGGGAGAGGGTAAGATGGGAAAACTAATTAGAACTAGAAAACAAACATTAATCATTTTCACAATTTATAATATGCAATAGCACTAAGCGGATTCGATGCATGGATATTCCTCATGAGGCTCATGCACATAACACACTTTTCTGGGAAATCACTAACAAAACAATATACGCATACGCGATTGCCTGTGATACTCATCATGTAGCAATGAGGCTGGCTGTTCTACATGACATTTACTTGTTGTACCTAGTCTTTTACTGACTGAGAATATCATCGCTACCAACTGATCAAAATCCAAAGCGCTACTTACAATTGTTAAAGTTATCGTTTTGTTTGCTGACGAGGCTCATTACGGCGAAGTCTTTAATGCCATAATGTCGCAGGGTGTTCAGTCGTCGCCAGCCGTTCAATGTTTTTGTGGTAAGATCCTCGTCCTGTAGGATCAGATGTCCACCTCGTCCATGACGCCACTCCAGATCGACGTCGAGCACGTTGGGCCTCAGTGAGTGCGCTGTATTCTTGTACAGCGCATCGAGCACCTTGCATTTGACCTGCGAGATCGTATCGCAGTCATTCACCCGGCACACGACCTTGTCTCCCTGCTCTTCCTGGACTACGTGGATCGTAACCATGGCATAATCGACCTGTTCCCGCAGTAGCCTAGCTTCGAATAGGGAGTAGCGTGCGTCGTGGGTGATCGCATCCACAGGGCCCTTTTCTATCTGATGCTTGATGGCGCTAAAGAGCAGAAACAGTGATGAGCCGGCAGAATCCTTCAGGTAGTCATACATAGAAATGGCTAGCCAGTTCGTAAGCATCTTCTCAACCACTGATTCCGTTCTCCGCAACATCAACTGGGGGTGTTTGGATGAAGCCGACCGCTCAATTAGCTGAAGTAGCAGTGTACGCAGAATGCTATAGAAATACGGCGAGTCATAAAGTGGGAAACATGGCATAGAGAGCAGATGTTAGGGACAATGAAGATTACATGTGGTACGGTAGTTTGTGCTCATTAACTATTTACCTATAGATTAGGTATTATTTAGGTTGTTGGTTTGGGCGGCCGTAAATCACTGCGCAAATTCATATATGTACCTTGAAAAAGTATATGTATTAATTTTACTATTAATTATTACGAACATGGAATATGTTTTCAAGTAAGGTAGACATTCTTGTGAAAGGGATAACCTTTCGTTGCATACAAAGGGACCGTCTATGGAAGGTAACAAAGAAATATGGATTATGCTACCTAAATCTAACGCCTCATTTATATTTAAGTGACCTGAACAGATTATACCTGGTTTCACACATTTCAGACTTTTTTAGCCTATGGCTATCTACTTTATACTTACTCAGTGCCATACTCAAGCTTGTTCATGAAAATCACCATCAGCAGTGAGGCGACATTAACCCGATCACGGATCGTGAAGCTCGCCTGATTTTCCAACGTGTTGATGAAGTTGATGAGGAAGCTCTTATTGAGCAGCAGCTGATGGAACTGCGTCATTGCCACTTCATAGTTGTTATAATAGCCGTTATTCTTCAGCTTGTTGTCACGCGTGAGCGGATGATCGATTACCCCCGGAAAGAACACTTTCATTACGTAGGCACGATGTTCCAACGTGGGGACTCCCATCGTATATAGATCGTTCGTCAGATCGGTCATATCGGTTTGCAGCTCAGCGAATGCTTGTTTGCACTCAATCCGAACAGATTTTTCGAGATCGTCCATCTGAAGCTGGATCCGTTTATACTCGCGCTCGGCCTGAGTCGACTTGTGACGTAGCAATACTATCACAAAAAGCGATACCAAGGTTAACACAATGCCGATGCCGGCAATGGCGGCCACTGCCTCACTTGGTAGATCTCCCCGTTTCGAGAACTCATACCTCAAATAGCCGATAATATAGTGTAGGTTGGGCCCGATGTGGACGACAACGAGGGGCAGATCACTGCGAGCCTCCTTGCCATGCCAGAAATTATTGTACGCCTGAGGCTGTTCACTTGGCGGAAGGCAGACCAACTGATTATTTGCTATCGACGTAATGTTGCAACGTTCATCCCCGATCGCCACTGAGATCTCGGCCTCGTCACGAAGCGCTGCGCGGATGTTCATCCCTTCTATAACGAGCGACTCGCCTTTGTACAACTTAACGTGACCGGCGGTGTCGAACTGGTAGAACCTCGGATCGGGAACATAAACCATGTCTGAGATCAGGTCAGGAAAATTTGTCGTCAGATCGCGAACTGCAGCAACGTTGTCCATAAGGAAACCGATTTTAAACCGCCACTCCTCGTGCATCACATCGGAATCGACGCGACGACGGGCGGCTGGTCGAGCCACTTGGATCTCCGAGTTTACCGGCGGCGACAGGCAAAACATGTGCTGGTTATCCTCGACTTCACAGGATGTCTCATTGATGATGTTGTCACCGTAGAATACGGCGATTTTGGGGGCGACAATGGCGTTGAAATGATTGCCAGTCACTTTAATCCGTCGGCCACCTGATACAAAGCTTTTCTTTGGCGCAATATCAAAAATGACTGGATCGGCAACATAGATGTAAGGGTAGCCAAGCGTTTGGGTAGAATTATCGATTTTTAGTGTCAGCACTGAGACGTTATAGGGTATTGTCGATTTAGTTGTTGTGCAAGAAAGTTGCGAGTTGGACGCAAGAGTCTTGTCGACGATACACGGCAGTTTGTCCAGGTATACTTCAACGTTTGACCCGATGTTAAGGTTCTGTCCGGAAATGTACAGTCGGGTCCCGCCAGACATTGGTCCGATCTTTGGGGTGACCTCCTCCAGCGTGATCTCTTTGTACAGAAACTTCTCCTTAGCAGAACTGAGTCCGGCGCGATTTCCAATCACTACGTCAGCGACATGAGATACCTCGGAGGGACCTGTTACGCACGTCACCTTCACGGAAACAGAGTAATCAACAACGCGGCATGGAACTCCGCCAACGGTGATCTTATCTTCGATTTCTTCTCGGGTAGTGCCCAAATTGCTGCCTTCGATCGTCAAAAGTGTTCCACCCTGGACCGGCCCGCTCAGCGGATGAATCTGTAAACGAAGTCAAATTAAAGAACGTAAACACTTATTTAGTTGCCTAAGCGTAACAAGCTTGTTTCATCTATATCGGGCATATACTTCATAACTGATTGTTTCAACGTTGGGCTCTTTCATTGACTTGCGTAGTGACTTTGAACCTAGAATGTGTGTTATATGGCGTGCACTCAAACAATTTAGGTACACCGATAACCAAACGAGAACCTTAATTTTTCGAAAGGATAACATGGTTTAATACACAACGAGCTGCTTATTAAACGCAGCCAGATGCCCTGTTGTCAGCTGGGAGGCCCCTGAGAAAACTATCGCTATGGTTTGCCCTCGACATTCTCATCCGTAGAAAACGGATTACAAGCGCCTATGCAAGTGAACGTCGCCTTCCATCAACGCCCGCGGGCCGCTAAAAGCACTGAACCTTGTAGGTTGTAAGATGCAAGGAGTTAGACTACAGCTACCGACCATCCCCCTATCTTTGTACTTCCTTTCGTTCCTCTCCCTAACTGCTCGGCTGCTCCGTAGCTCTTACAAGTGTCTTCCGTACAACGATCCCTGCCCACTTAAGAAGATCAGTTAAAGTCGCTTGGTTTGACCGTATTCGCGCAGCATGTATTGACACTTTGAAAAAATATACACAGTCTACATATGGGAATATGGGAACAAGCTCGTAATTTTTGCTGCTCGATGTCGTTAAATCGTCAGTTGATACGTTCACTAAATGATCGGATGAACGCGGCATAACGAGGGTAAATCTGCCCAGGCCACACACAGACAGTGCCACAGAGTTAAGCAATCAGTGTGGTAGGTGCCACTGTATTATTTTTCTGCGGCTATGTACCCCGAGCTATGTCAACTTAATCAACTTTTCAAGGCAAGTTGCAACGTTGACAACATTGGCTCCGTCAGTCCCGTCGTCTACGCTGAGTTGCCCTGTCGTCCTAGCAGGGAATATCTGTCCAAGAAATGGTTATCTAGTCCAAAGGCTGAACGAGTCCATCATAAGAGTATATACATGGTCGCACATTCAATTTCTTGTGGTACGTACCTAGTGAAGACATATACTTTACACTATTACCGCGCTCGGTGCCATCATCATGATGCAAGCGGCACAAGACTTAGCCGACAGAAGCGGAAGGGATGATCAGGAAAATGATGAGAAGAGAAGCAGAGTAGTAAAGCGAGATTTCCATCACTTCATCAGCGTTCATTAATTTGGCTCGACCATCGTCAGGTTATGTAATTAACTTACAGGACAGAACTTCGCCGTGGCCGTGGTCGTCATTGTGATCGATGCTGGTAATAGATAATCAACTCACAATGCATGTCGAGTTGCGTCATGTCAAACGTTCGATTCGATAGTTCGCACGCGGTGCTCATCCCGCAAGACATACTATACCACGACGTTTTTTGCCATGTAGCTACTTTCACTTCGCCTCGAGTCAGGTCGCAATTACTGCGGCGACGCGACCTCGACTACTACCACAATCAGGACCCCACTCGACTAGAGCAAGCATCCACTCGTCTTCAGCTTACTATAGCTCATCGCTTCACCAGCCCCTTCACTATTGCCTTGAATGAATCAAATAAACAATCTTTGCCCCCTTCAGGACACGGAGGACCACGAATCTCGATGATGCCTGACCAGGCCAAACTAAGAAGTCATACGGATCCTCTTCTACTACCCCAATTCGTCTGTCGGTTCCCCGTACCATCCACCTGGCCGGTCCCGGATTAATCTTTTAAGTGCCAAGTGCACTGCTGTAGAAGGCAGCGGTAGTAGCAGAAATGGTAACACGGCAAAGCCTGGGCCGAGAACAAAATCAGCGGCGTAGCTTGGGTCGGAATCTCTGGCATCAGAGGCTCGATATTGGCAGACTGTGTCGGGACTTTCCGAACACGCGCACGCTCGCCGCTGCCGCCACTAGCTTTTCTTCTGTGGCCCAAGCAAAGTAGAGATTGTAACTAGGGCGTATTGGCATACTCGCTGTGCAGTATTTATACGACTTCCTGCTAAGCACGACGAGAAAAGCTACTTCGCTCTGCGTTATCTCTGCACGTTTATGCACGTATCACGTACACGACGTCAGATGCAACGATGTGTTTAAGACGACAAGCGGATCATGCAAGTTGTTGGCGACAACAAAAAAGGGTTGGTCGCCTTCGTCGACGAGGAAAGCAGTCAATCATACACATTCGCCTACTATGTGAGGGATTCTCGCACCACTGCGAAATTTGTCGCGTATCTTGGTTCTTACGCAGGGGAAATCTCTCTTGAACATCCTGCTGTGACGCAACTGGCTGGCAAAGATAAAAAAATCAAATTTTATTAAGTTCACTCTTATCAGGATAGCCAAATGTATATCACCTCATGACTGTTACTATCATATACTCTTAACAACTTTGATCATAGAGCTGCACAGAACTTTGGCAACGTCCAAAGAAATATAAGCTGACTGATCTTCCCTCACGATCTAAGCGTATCGAGGAAAAGTGACTATAAACGGAGTAGAAAAACATGTACAGTCGATACCGGACTTGTCGCTCCATTGTATTGCACACATCTATGTGAACTCGGAAACATTTAATAGACAGCAGTAACAAATCATGGCCCCTTATTCAGCGTTGCTTGTTACAGATGCGACGCAGTATTCCAACTATACTACGAAAATGACTGTTGCGTAAAACAACAGCATACCCATAAGAATATCTTTGGAACCACCATATTACGATCAGATCAGCAAAGCCGCGACCAGCATTTTCTTAAGCCAACTACGCCAGATCTACCGTCCGAGTGTCGTTTCCAAACGAGAGCTGCTAACCCTAAGTAATATACATACACAGAAAGCTAGAACCATAGAAACCACAAATAACAGGAACAATTTCATCTTACTGGCTAAACAATCTGATCTAGCAGATGCTCGGTATTTTAGTATTGAGAGAGCGAGAGAGAGAAAGGGCTGGGGGGAAGAGGGGGAATTTGCACTGCTAAACTACTAATACGAAAAGGCTTCATCCGGCTAACGGTCCTTCTCTGCCTAGGCAAACCGCTCCCCTTTCCCCGACGGTGCCCAGCTTACCAGCAGACGCTTTCGTAAACACCGCAAGACTAAGCTTCCTGCTTCCTTCGTTCATCCATTCCTTCGTTGCTTCACTTGGTCTTATTTGCCCCTCTCTTCTTGTATGGACGCCAGATAATTAGCAAACTGCTTAGATTGGTCCGCCGACCAGCACTCGCGCTGGTCGCGCTTTACCCATGTCTAAGCCTGCCTCTGCTTGTGGTAGTAGTTTAGTATGTATCTGTGCGGACAATGATGGTCGCTTAACTGGAATACCCGCATGTTATCCGGCGGTGCCGGTTCTACCTTGCCAGCATTCATGTTCGCCTCCGCAACAGTAATTTAATTTAGGAGCCGCGTCGCTTCTTTCCCTTTATCTCTTCGAAGTCTTATGCTTCTAGCGTATTAGCCATGATCCCCGCATCTCCCCTTGATACGAATAGGATAAACGATTGGCGGCCAATCGGCCACAGAGACACAAGTAAAACGAAATAGTAAACAAGCAATAGATTAACAGGCGTGACAGCGGCGAGGATGGGCCAGCTAGGCAGCCGAGGCTTAGGGAAACAGACAGACAGGAAGACAGGCAGGCAGGCAAACGGACAGACAAACAGGCAAACCAGGGCAAACCGACCCGCACCCTAAAGCTTCCTGTACCTAACTTAATTCGATGGTGCCTGTACTGAAGCAGTTAGGGGCGATTTTTGGTGAATTGTGAATGGAATTCGGTTTGGTTATATTTATATATTCTAAACTTGGCGCGAACCACTCGGCAAGATCCAGCTGCGCAAATGTATGCGCTCCCTCATCCCTGCCCATCCGAAACTCTTTTGTCTGTATTGCTGTCCGACACGACGAGGCAACCGCTTACGGCACACAAACATGGATCGATGCTCAATGGTGATGTTATTACACTAATATATAGACAAACTGTGTATAGGCTTTAAAGCTAAGCCTTAAATTAGACTTGTAATCATTTCTTAGCTTAAGAAGTTAGCTCTTATACTTATTCTTAGCGCTTCTTGCACCGACGTTTAGCTCGCCCGAGTGAGACTACCCTAGAGAGCCATAATAAATGTAATCTTGTTCTTAAATTATTGAAAGGAGAGGTTTCCGATCCCCGATCAAGAACGACTGGGGCACGGAAGGATTATGATAATTTTTATAATATAATTGCTTTCGGGGAACAAAGAACGACAATTGTCTATTTTAACCGTACAAACCTAATTGAAAACAACGCCTTCCAATACGTTCTTGATCCATATGTAGTTAGCTGAGGCAAACCATTAACTTGTAGATAACCAGTCTAATATGTTAGCGAAGCCATGTCTGTACACCTACACGCGATGTAGGCTAAAGTTTTTCCCACTTTATAAAGAAAGGCTACGAGGGCTCTTTTTAAGCACTCGTAGAAATCTACATACGCGTCTCAGACCCTATATCCGTAACCTCGCTTCTTCTATTCCGCTGGAAGTGTGACTGGTATTGATGTGGGTCAGAAAACCGCTGGATCCGAGCACAGAAGAAGCGCTAACATTGACTGTTGCTGTGAGTGCTTTGTTGTAGTTGTTATAGAAGCCTTATGATAGGTTTCTTTTGTTTTCATCTCATATTACCTGCTTACTCATCCTTCTTATCGAGATCCTGAGCTACAGTGGTTTTTCTCATCTTTTAAAAGTACTGCTGATTTCTGCGCCACTACCGGTGTCGGCCCAATTTTTGTTCATCTAGATCAAAGATGAAAAAGATCAGAAATGAGATCTTCGAGACTTGGCTCTGTTGGATACTCTCCCGTCGGTTCATTGATCGGTGTCTCGTAGGCAGTATTGTTAGAGAACTGAGAATGCTTCGGCAACTTTTTCTGCCCTTCTCAGCTTAGATCCCCAAACGTCCTTCCTGATTTGCACAGACATGGAACAATACTCCGGGCAAGCCACTGACAGTAGACGCTCTGCATTGGCTGGCTGATAGGTTGGGGTCTTCGTTTTCCCTACTCGGCCTGGCAGCTGGAACATACTAAAAGCAGCAGCTGCAGGGACAAGCATTCCAACGGCCCTGCGAGACCACGACTCGGCCCGCTTAAGGGCATGAGGAAGCGCTCCGGGAAACAGCTGTTCGATTATTTTCGCTTTCCTCTCAACTGCCGTCCCCTGATCAGCTTAATTGGCCTTGCACCCCAGATGACCCAGGCGGTTTCAGGCTCTTCGCGATTATAGCGCCTCGCTCTGTAGCGGACGCCTGCCATGTAGCATATAGCTGTTCGCTCATTCATACGATAACTAGCTCATACAACATACTGTCCGACAGATTAAGAATTGTGTCCCCTTTAGCGCACTGGTACGAAGCTGGTTAAAGGATCTAATAAGGGGCGTAACCGGTGCTGGGGCGCCCGGGGAAGAGAAGAACGATGTAACAATTTTGTAGGATAGTGGCCGATTACACACAATGCGAGCTGGGAGGGCGCAAAGCAAACCCTCGAACATTTTCACTATCAGCAACATCAATGAAGATCTAGAGAGTGTCCAATGTTGGCACTTATGATACTGCATGTGACAAGACTAGATGAAGCATAGAAAGAAATGTGCTTTCTTTTTTGCGCAGAACTGAATAGGCGAAGTGCCGTAATGCTCAGAGCGAATCCTTCGTATGAATGCGAATGTGCGAACGTGTGTTATAAACCAGCAGTATTATTATCATTATTACGGATCATTGAGGTGACAAAGGCTCAGTCACTGAATTAACGTAATATGGATGAACACAAATAACTAGTTAAACAATCTAATACAGATGTCTTTTTGAAAATTGGCCTCGCACATTAATAAATATTAATTACAGTCCGCAAAAACTTCTTTAATCGCAACCGCCCGATCGTCTATGTGTATCTTCAGTCAACTATTACAGTAATAAGGTCCAGGCGGCTCTTTTCCCTTATCTGCTCCATCTATCCAGCCGGATATGTAATAAATACACGTTTAGTCTCGACGTGCCCATACGCAATGAAAAAGACTCAGCAACGTTGATAAATGAAAGTCTTCCGGCGATCGAGAGCCCCTGTGCAAAAAAACTAAAGAATAACGCAGTCGGTTGATCTTTGCGACGCCTTAACTTAAAGGAGACCACCACTAATTAAAGACTAAAACAGAATGAGGTAACGGGTCAAGAACGGTCCGCCTCGCTGAAGGATTGGATGGTCTCGTACCCGTAACGTCAGCAGGGCCTGGTCCGCCAGTTGGCCTGAAAACATGAGCAGCAGCCCCCATTATTGCCACCACAGATACTGGCGAACCCGAACCGGTCGAGCCAACCCTAGTGCCGTGACGTCGCCAAATGGCTGTTGTTTGGATAAAGAAGACCAAGTACGACCAATGATCCTATTCGCTGTTTCTCCTTTCTCTCGCATTTAGCACTGTGCATGCTTACGTTGGGTGTTACTGGAGAGATAAATCGAGTCGATTTTTACTAGGGCTTAATTGAAAATATCGTCCTTTTCCACAGTGTTCTCCTTTGCCTCTGCTTGGTGTCTGTGATCCGTAACTGGCGGATCTGGGAGGGGCTTTGCACAAGTTAGCCAGGCAAGCCGTTAGCACTGCGGAAGGATGCGTTGGTGAACTGGTAGTTAGAACTACGTTTAGCAAAAAAAATATTACTGGCTTGTTCCAGCCCAATAGCAGACGTCTACCGACTATCCGATCGACTAAACAGGACCAACTGCATTTAATGCACTCCATTTTCCACTGAAAACGAACTTTAGCTTGCTGTTGTAGCAGTACAAGTACCCAGTGATTAGAATCGACCGTTGCGACGGGCTGATTTCCACACTAGGCGTTCTAAGGCATTATAGAAGGTATCTATTCGCACCCTTATGTGATACTATCAAGTGACGTGTACCTAAAGTATTTATCAACAAGAAGACTATATATATGTTGATCACGCAAATGGCATAGGCTGTGGCATCGGAAAAATCCGCGGTTCACCGAATATCCCTCGACCCAAAATGATTACTGGCCAGTGCTCCGTAATGCTCCCGTATGTGCGGCATCTAATAGCCGACAAGCACGACAAGCTAACACCATCACAAGGAAAAGGTACAGCAACCAAATAACGAAACGCTAGATGAAGACACCGTTCGACAAACCGAGAAGAAGCCATCAGCTGGGACTGGCGACCGATACATTCACGTGATTGTATCGATCGCCAGCCGAGAGGTCATCGCGGATTCTCTCACTGTTTTGCCTGTATGACCAACCATGCATATTACTACATATAGATATACATGTCCAAAGCCGTCTGCGAAGTCATCCGTCCATTGCCCTTCACACTGACTCACCCATCAGGCCTGAATAAGCTAACTTGTCAGACGTTCATTCACTCGAGGTAGGCCTGTATTGTCGCACGAGTACGTTTGTCAAAAACATAAATCTATGAGAAACTGGTGACAGACCGCTGGATGAGGTAAATTCGCACACCTCCTTTTCGTGTCAAACACCAAGTAGGGGAGCGCTGTTGTCGATTTTCATAGAAACAAATAATAACTCTGAGCAAACCGTGCTCAACCGCCGTGACACTCACTACGTACGAGGCGAGTTCAGCTATTAGATTTACGTCGTGCCCTATAGTCGATTGCCGTACACTGGCGAAGATGCTGGTTCGGTCCTGTCGTTGTTGTCGTTATTCTTATGTTTAGGCGATTATAAAGTTGCAAAACAAGTAAGATAATTATGGAATAATATATGAGCTATGGGAGTGAAGTGCTAAGAGGTGCGCCACGTTGAGCCGCATTAATACGACTCTGATAGAAATCTGTGCTGTTTTCTGCAATACTGATTTTGCCACATTGATGCGCTAGTGTCAAGCTTATAGCTCGGCTATTTCACATTGCCCCACGGTGCTTGGCTAGGGGAAGAGGGCCAGAACAGTACTTGCGTGGAACTTTTGAAGATGCGCACCGAAGACCGAATGTAAAGACTAAAACAAGACGATGATTACGACCATGACCACGATAAAGTCAAGGCGCACAAAACCAATGCAGCAGAGGAAACAAGCGGCGACTGGCCAAATGGGCGAGTTTAGTGTAGCAATAAGTGCTTTGAACCGAAGAGGGGTATAAGCCGCTGTCCGCGGACAGAGAGACAAGTAGCAATAGCTAACATTCATCATCATCAACTAGACATCATTCGAGCGCGTGTCATCTTGTTGTGTAGGATAAATGGCGAGTCACATATCTTGTGGTTGGGTAGTACTTGCAAATATTTCTTCGGCCTATGGTGAATTCAATATAGAAGTTTCCACAATCATAAACGGTTTCGGCATTTTTATCGAGCCATACTTTGCGATCTTCTGATCGGATGAAGTGGATGTCCGCGCTCCATCGAGTCAGTTAACGCAAAACATGTAGGGAAGAAAGTGTGCTGAAATAACCAAAACAACTACACAGTCACAGATTAAGAGTCGAGGCGCCCTTATCCAGAAGAGAAACTGTCATAACTGCTTTTCCATAACAAATTTTTTTTTTTTTTTTTTTACATGATTTCCACATAGTGGAAAAAGTAAAAATGGGGTATCCCGTAGCGACTGGTTATCTGGTGGCGACGAGCATACTTGACCCAGCTAACCTGGCCCCGACGATACGTTTTGTTGTCCGCGCTCAATCGATCGTAGTGATAGTTATAGTTCATACGTTCGCGTCTCTGTCTAATCGATTCTGCGCATACGAACTTCCTCGTCGTTGCATTTCAGCCCCGAGCCTATAAACCGTTCATCTGTAACGAAACTTCCAATATCATTGCTATTTACAAAGCCATTTATAGTGCCCTCGTGCACGATGCATGTTCGGAATACCCATTTTCTAACTTATTATCGCACCGCGCGACAACTGCTGCATCGTGCACTGGGATCCATTTGATAGTGTCGCGACCGAGCGAACCTGCACGGCATACTACCAGCCCTAGGCTATTACGTGCCTATCGCTTTGAAGGCATACAGTTCTAGCTTATTTTCTTTATTTTTTTTCAATGTCTATTTTCGTCGGATGTTAATAACAGCTTTCGAAGTAGCGGCAGTCATTAACTTGACTGGCCGATGGTCGTTGTTGACTCTATTCACCCCACGAGGGTCGGAATGACTCCGGAACAAGAATGAAGCCAGTAAGGGAGAGAATGTGAACGGATCCACCATCGTCCCGCTTAGTTTCACTTATGTAGTGCTGCTATTAAAACCGCAGGCTGCTGGATTGGCGTCCACATAGAAAATCCAACGCCAACCATTTGCTCCGGAAGAAGTAAGCCGTTAATGACTAAGAGCATAAAGACGGCGATGCCACTTTAATCCCTTCAGTTTTTTCTTTGAATTTACCAGAAGTAAAAGTACTTGTGGCCTCGATATGATCATAAGGCTAAACTGTTTGTCTATATCGGACGCTTAAAATCGGCCTGCAAAAGATCGAATTATGAGTTGTAGCTACAAACTGTATTAGTTTAGTATTACATACACCGTGCATTAATTGTAATGTTTCTCGCTATCTAGTTAACTTTTGGAAAAAGTTTATCGGAGGTACTCTGCTCGCACTGCATCGTTTACATCGTAGGGTTGTATCAGGCGACGAGGTGTAGCGTTGACTTTTTCTAAAGTGAAATAGTTCTAAAGCTAGATATACCCCACGTCTACAACAACATCAATCACGCCCTTGTGGTCAGTTGAAACCAGTATCGATACAAATTATAACCCAACCCCAATCTTCAGTGTTGTGGGCCATGGCTGATTCTCAACCACAGCATGCGACAACAATGTGGGACGATTATGACCTCCGAGTTATAGTGGTTTTTCGAGATGTGTTCTCGTATTGTTTCCGATGTCATTGAGCGGACGCTGCGTAGGCAGCAATCCATTCGCTCGACCTAGTACGCCCAGTCGTTACCTAGACGATTTCGTCTCCTAAGAAAATTATGACACACTGCCTAATAAACATTTAGAGCCCGAGGATTAAACAGCGATCTTCACTATTCAACACTGTATGTACGTACTTTATATATATAAGCATGAACCTTCGATTCGTTGTTAACGCTAGTAGTGTTAAGAGACAGGCTTTCTGACCTAGCGGGTTCCTTTTGCATCAGGCATTACTTTCAGTATATACCCAGTAACATCACCAGATGTCGTTTAACACATATATATTTGTTATTAGGAGCACTATTGGTGAATTAGCAAGGCGACCGTAACAGTATTATATTGCTTCCAGATCTCGGCACGTTTCTGTCGGCAGTGTTGTGTAACTTCGATATAGTCAAATCGGAGTGACTGGGGTACTGGCAGAACGTGGGGCACTGGCTCCCAGCGGATCTACACGGACCGCCAAAAAGTCGCTGTGATTCGGCCAGCTGATCGGATCAGTGGTTCTTCTTGCAGACGAATCAGTGTTACCACAATGCGTAACAGTATCTTCGTTCCCCCGGCCATAGAAACGACATGACATGTCGAGTGTGATAATCGGCTCTAACTATATAGAATAGCATCGAGTCAAATCGTGCATTTGGTCGGATTAGACTGCTCCTGCTCATCATCAATATTCCCTTGGTCACTTGCCCAGTTTCGATGATTATGCTAGTGGCCCCGAAATAGCGGACGTGCCAACGCAGCGCACGGAAGAGCACTATACGTCACCTTTCTCATTGTGCCCGGCGCAGATCTAACCAGCGTGCGGAGGGACGGTATCAGACGTCACCGTTATATATTTCTATATGATATAAGATAGTGGTTTATACCGTGACGATTGAATGTGAGTCAAGAAGGTGTGCTATCATCTCAAGCGGCGTCTTACTCAGCAGCAACGAAAATAACGATGACAATCGGCGCCACCGCTGCAATGATAACCCCCTAGGGGGACTGGGCACCGCACGTAGCTGTACCAGGGTAACACGAGACTCCCGAAGTACGCGGAAACGGAAAATGAAGCCAGAAAATCAGCAAGCGATTTGCAACACAGGATTGATGGCCACTATAGACACATGTAAGCGTATTGACAACTGGCATTCCGCAACTTCAATAGGTTTTCGTGATTCAAGAGATCGTCACCGGATGCCCTTTATCAATAAAAATATGATAGCAAATGGGAGATTGGGCTTGTAATGTAAATAGACGACCACCGTTTTTTGCTTGAGAAAAACCTCAAAAAGGTTAGTACACAGAGCAATTTTTCGGACAAATTCAATGATTCCATTAGTTCTATAAATAGACCATTTATTCTGGTGCATTCATCGCACGCAAGCGTGTCAACTGGGTCACAACAGTGACTATGAACATTACCACTATATTTCGACTACGGATAACTTTATTTATTACGGATACCACTTTAGAGCAAGGCGCTCCATAGATATATGTATACTTGTCATTCAATTTCTCTCGCAGAGTCGACCAATTCGTTATCAGATGATTCTTCTAGCTAACCTCGACAACAGATTTCACTTCCCATTTTCCAACTAAGAATAAGGAATACTGCTAAAATACATATAAGCATAACAATGTCTTCATCAGCCTCCAGCTAACCTAATTTTTGTGGCTTCTGTTCCCATGAGGTCTTCCCCAGCTCGCCGTATTAAGCTCGGACATTATGTCTGACAGCTCCCTGTGCGCGCCATTCTAAAACTTCGCTAACATTCAACGAGATGTCGAAAAAAATTGACGCCTCAGCCGCAATTCGAAAACTGGCCACCGGTAAAGCACAAAAGCAAAATCGGGACTTCTCAGCATAAAACCAGCATCCGCTACCTTCAGTAATGACAGCGTCGTCAATATTTGCAGTCGGCAAGACGACAAAATACGAGGATAGATTCGGCTGTTCATAGCTGAAGTCATTACCAGAAAGGAGTACTACGTATTTGACAGAGTCAAAAATGGTGTTCCGTCGATTGTGTTTTTTTTTTTATTTGCCTATCCACTTCTGTTCGCCCTTATACCGAGTTGTGATGTTATTGTATATGGATATAAGTCGGATTCGTAACGACTGAAAAATAAATATGTTCCAAATGGTCGAAGTAAGGCAAGAATGATCTGACGGATGGGCCAGAACTATGGCTGCTACCTAACGAGTTATCAACCATTAGATCGTAATGTTACGATCAGTCGTTGACATCCAGCAACAGTGTACTCAGCAGACAGACCGACTGAATGACAGCAACAACAATAATTTACTATTTAGTACAGCACATTGACCAAGGAAACTGGTGACATAGTTGCCAGGTATCATTACGGGAGGCGTATGCGTGGCGTGGCGTGGCGTGGCGGGAACCCTCACGAGGTATGCAATTGTAAATAGCCAAGGAACCGACGACAATAGAACCTTATCGTACCCGCGTTATAGTTGCGGCATTTGCCTGTGTATAAAACATCGAATCATTCTACCGCTATATCTAGCGGCCAGTTGTTACCAGACGATTTCGAGCTGAGAGCGAGTGAGCTACAGTGAAAAACCGAAAGGTAACGGTTGCGCCATTGTTGTTGGAGAATTTGTTAGCGTTCATGTTGCGTCGTCCTGCTAAAAGATCATCGTTATTGCCAACAGTTGCTAGATTAAATACCGTTGGCGCACCATGAGATCGTAGCACTGGATGGCTCCCCGGCCTGATCCGTCTAGACCTTGTTCAGGTGACCTTCTCGTTTTTCGCCTTTTTCCTCACGCTCGTATTCCCGTTCTTTATCGATGAACAATTTACTAAACCATTGGCGCTTAACGTCGATGGCGGAGAGCAGTTGAAAGTAAACAATTACAGCCGACGAAGCTAGAGGCAGAAAAACGATAGCACAAAAGCATGAGTTATTACTGGATGTTCGTGGTTTTGGGCATGTCCGCTCTATTGGCTGGCTGGCTGGCTGGCTGACAGTATTGTCACGTCGCGCATTAACCTCGAAAATATGAGCTGAAGCCAAAACGAGTTCCAGTGACTTGCTATACATTCGCATATGAATCAGATAGTCACTCGAGATCTGACGAAGGGTCAAGTAATGGATGAAAGTACTCGTTATACATTCAAAACTGTGACCCGGGCTTCAGTGTTGCTAAAAATGCTTTCTGGAAATTCACACTACAGTGATCACAGTGGAAAATGAGAACACTGATCAGGACAGTCTTCTATCTGAGACGTATTTAGTTGGCAACGATAAGCGTCGTTAGCTAATTTCAACTGCAGAGCTAAATCGTCCTAACAACTCACGTAACGGTAATAACGACAATGAAAAAGTTGGCTGATCGATCAGTGCGCCCCGCGATAATTCGAATCCGAAGCCTATATTGTCCGTTTACTATCACGTTAATAGTCAAAGAAAGCGTCATTAAACGAGACAATCAGCCCCTGAATGATTTGTTCCCGCCAAACACTTACTTCGTCTGTCGTACGACGCCGCTTCGGTCGCTGCAATTGTCGTTGTTCCTTTTACGGTGGATATCGTAGCGGAGGCGAACCGTAACGGAGGCGAAAGGAAAAGTTTTCTGGCAATTTGTGGTTCGTTGTCGTATTTTCTAATTGGAAGTTCAGGAACGTACTTGTTTACCTCGTGGGCTTCACACGATTTTACAGTCTAGATACAGAATATTCCATTGCATCCTATAGGACCCGTTACAGTATTGTGATAGCACTTCTGTGGTATCAATCACTGCGAAACTCTAGTGTCGATGCTATCCATCTATATAGATACGACCAGCTTACTCTGCGTTTGCAGTTCCACTTACAAGAATTGACCTTATCAATAGTCAGTCTTAGCATTTCATCGTTCTCTGACAAACGCCCTTTTTCCCAGCAACCAGCATCAAGTATATTAAAAAAGACACGAAAAATTACGCAAAAACCTAACATCTCTCTTGTTTAAAATTTCTTTGCCTAAAAACATATAGCGAGGCTAATATCACATGGGCAAATTTACTCAAGTTACGTTTTTGTAACGTAGATATGCACGAAACGGTTTTTTCAGAAACAACAAGTGTATCTATCTACACAACGACGGCTTACGACATCAAATCGTTAAAGGCCTGCCTATGCTACTTATAGGCTAGAGATGTCCTAAATAAACAATACACCGGACACGCGTACGCTGCGCGGCCACAAAGTAAAACGCGTATCTCATAACTTCTGTAGTACTGTGTACAAGATACTCTGGAATTGAAACAATCAGATATTGCAGGCCCAGGGTCGGCCAATAACCGAATAGGTATTCAACACAAGTTCGAAATCGATCACTTACCCAGTCGATTCGCGGTGGGGGACAGGTCATCTGCACGGGTTCGTTGCACGTCGGTCCATAGGTGCAGTGGCCGCTACACCAGGTGCACTCGTACTTCGGATCACGGGAGGCACAAAGCGAGCAGTCGCCCCGGCCGCCGTGTGAGCCTAGCAGCGAACATTTATACAACGTGACGTTCGTACGTCCGATAAATGTGTCCCTATTCCAGAGAACGGTTAGTTGGGCGGCCGTCTCACCACGAGCTTCTCGATATGAGTATTCGGTTTCCCCGCAGATAACCCGGCTCTGACGAACAGACGCCGACACCTTCGTCTGACGACCCTCGATGTCGATCAGACACTGAAAGTTGTCCTGCAAAGGGAGAATGAACATCGAACGTTACTAGTAAACTGACGAACGCTACATCTCCTACTATTGACGCTATAGGAATTTGTCACCAATGAGGTTGCGTCTATTGTCCAGAACAAGCCTACATCCGCTATATATGAATGTTGAATATTGAGAAACAAACTCTAGCTACTGGAGATTTTGTACCCTCTCATAATTCCGCGGTACCTGTAATTTCTAACAATTTACTATTTTTCATTTCGCATACTGTTCAACGATCGTATCATACAGATAGTGCACCAAAAAGGACACCATTTTATCGTGCGATTATGCAGTACTGTAAAATGTCCATGATTGCCATGTCTATAATTATAAATTATGTAAAGTCGTCGCACCGCTGCTACGAGTCTATCCCTTGATAATACTCTCTGTGCTTGTTCGTCATTGTTTCCTATTCCCCCTTTTCTATTGTTTCGATTGTTCTAAGTAATAATAGTAATTTTTAATAATACAGATCACAATGATACCCTGACCAGGCAAAACCACGTCACTATTTATAGCTGGTGACGCATAGCCAGCGGAGCTGTAAGCGGGACGTGTGTCTGCTCGTAGCTCCTGCAACAAACACTACTTTGCGAAGCCAATAACTGTTTTTTTACCCTGCACGAGTGTCAGATAAGCTCGGAACCCTCGAGCCGAATTCAACACCAGTCGCCAAGCGAGTTTCCAAGTACCGAGAGTCATTCGACGGTGGAAATCCGAGCCGTAGCATCCGTAAAAAAGTCATTGCGGCGGAAACAGCAACTCCGGGCGTCAGCAAAAAAGGACCCTCGCCATGGCCGCTTTGGCCGTCGTTGCGTTTCGATTTCTTCGTTGCTCGTTTCTTTCACTTAAGAGCCGAATATAAAGAGACAGCACAGTGCAGGGTCAATCGCTGACGTTGCTGCCGCTTCTAGTGCTGCAATGTCGAGTGTCGACAAATGTCTCCAGATATCTGCATGTCCGCCAGGCGCTGTGCTATTTACCCGCAGAGTTATCAGATGAAGAAAACACGATCGATAACTACTGGGTGAAGCCAATGGCGAGGTTGCGATGAGCTAACGCGAAGGCTTCCGTTCATCAGTGGCTGATGTTCTAGCGTGAATAGGTAGGTAAACAGAGGCGTATCGCTGTTGTCAGCTAAAAGGAGTAGGAAAAACACGCATTACCCTTACATGCTCCCGCTGTAATCAGGGAAGCGTCTTATTACGCTCCGATGGTTTTACCACTATTTTCATTTTTAATTGGCAGCGATAGCAACAATAGTGGTGAAATTTAAATTAGGATCAAGCGGACGAACAGGCACGCGAGTTGATTACATCGGCGGATAGTGAAAACAAGGAAAGGAAAAGACAGAGAGGGTGGCTCGCTGTGCTTGTTGGAGGACACTTGTCAGTGGTCCTAATCAGCGTGAAGGTTTTGCCGTGTCGCATCGTTGTGTATGCATGTGTAAGTTTGAGCGACACGGCTAAGTTAGATAAATGCCAATCGAACTTCGAGAAAATGTTAAGTTACCTAGATGACTCTGCTGATGGCAGTAATATCGATGACAAAAGAACGTACACAAGTCGATCGAGTTGATTTCTATATGGAGGCCTATTGTTTACTATACTGCTGCTGTTCGGCTGTTATTATCAGTACTGAAAAACTGCCTTCATTTCTATTTTAGTCAGAGAAGCTCGACACTATCCCTGTTGGCGCTATTTTCCCGTATTGTGATTATTAGCTCACTGAACGGCGTCATCCCTAGCAACATCGTCAATATTACCACCATCATCATTAGGTACGAAACGTAAACATCAACGTTTCCGGACAGTATCGCCGTCCACTGTTGAATCATTTTCGGCACCGCATGAGCTTTGACACTCGGCAAACATTCTCGTACAAGCTCAAACGCAAAAACCTTCGCACTGAACAGCTGGCAAATACGTCACCTTCTTCCTGACCTTCCGTGATCATGTCGGCATCGACACCGCAACCATCGATTGTTCCGCACATAAATATTTTTGCGCAGCACTGCCATACGGTTCGCCTGTGTCATTGGCCGTCTGTATCTGTGCCGTCGCCGATACGTGATAAGAACTTCTATAATAGCATATCCACAATCTGCTCAGAGTGAACAGATGCTGTACAATTTCATTAGATGGTCGGCACCATTTAGCTTCCATATATGGAACATGACCATGTACAAATATGATGATTCCTTGCGCTCGGTACCCCCGTATCGTGTGCAAGATGGCCTGACTTCAGTACTAGCAATCTGCTAGCTTTTGATGCGTTCACAGAGGCGTACCTCCCTCCAGCCATACGGCACAAACTGAGTTGTGACTTTTGCTCTTCGGCCCAACTTGATAAGGAATCTGGGACTGATCATAAATTTTAGCCGCAGTTTCATGTCTGCACACGCGCTTCACGTACGTTCTCATCCCCCCGCTCCCTCTCTCCCACTCGGTCGATAAAATGGATGCCTACATAATGACATTTCTATGTGTAACCACGGTGTAAAGTTAACAGACGCAGCTGCAACCAGCATGTTCACCACATGTATTATACCAGCACCCAGTCAAAAAAAATCTAACAATTCCCTCTCGGAGCCGTTTTTCACCTTTGCGTAAGCGATATCTGAAAGCGACGCTGAAAACCCGATCGGTAATGGCTTCACCCTCTGTAATAACTTTTACGTATTATGATAAGCAACGTTCTGTTCGTAGCATTCGCTCTTCTTTGTCGCACCTGTGCAGCCAACGCAGCGGCCATCGCCGACGTCCAATTTTTATGTTATCATACTCAAAACGATCGTAAGTACTTAAATTTTCTAGTATTTCTTTTGGCTGACGTAACCGTGAGCTGTTCCATAACCGTTGATCATAGACTACATCGATATATCGTGTTGTTCCGGTAAAGCAATTTCTTACGTTCTGATGTGTCCTGATAACTGAGGTGAGTTGCAGTCAGATACGAAGCTGGCGGCCGTCCATCGCCCGCCTACAGAAAATATTGTACGCTCTAACATAGTGAATCGATTGGCCGGCCGCAACGAACTGTAATTGTATTAACATATTGTCATAATTAACTGAAGCTAAGGCGCGTATACAAAGATAAATTGGATCATTTAGTTTCCAATATGTTTATCTTTCGGTGGTGAATTTAGGAAAAACAATTTACTGCTCTTGCTTTTCTATGACATTCATGAATAATGCAGAAGCTATTAGTTCCTTGTCAGAACGTTCTCTACCGCTAAACCAAGGCTGTTCATGAGATTGGCTATTGCAAAGATGACCATCATTTCAGCTGGTCCCTTGACCAGTCTGATCCTTTTTTGTATGTCTTCGTCAAGGCGTCGTCGCTTCACCCTTTTGGGTGAATCCCGCCACTCCACGCGATCTTCACAGTACCTGCCTGCTTAGCAGACATCAGACAGACAGACAGACAGACGACAGCCGCAACAACAACAACAGCCAGAATTTACTGTTAAATTGTGGCAGTCTTTCAATTGCGTGCGCGGCGCAGCTTCGACAATCATTGTTTGGATCATCAAAAACAAATCAATCGATTCGTTGTCGCTCAAAGCAGCGAAGTAACGAACAGGAATTAGAAAAAAAAAAACAAAACATTTTGAGCAGATTAGCGAACGCCGACCATTGATTTAAGCCGCTCTAAAATTGCCGTTGTTTTGATAGCATTGCTGGCCTTCATGCCTATATATTTGACTACATTTTATATATCTGTATAGGGCATAGGCTACGTACGGTTCGCTACTAGTTTCAGTTGTTACTCGTTCGGCTGTCAACGCTTTTTTTTACGGTAAAGGAAGTGTTTAACATGACGGGGTTATGAAACTTCGACTCAGAACAATGGCGTTCTCAGCATGTGATAGTAAACGTTTTCCATCTTTATGGCATTTCGCGATCAACAGGGCTGAACCGCGTTGAAACTCTGGCCACTTTATGATACAATACGTTAGGTCTGCGCTTGTGCCACTGTCAGTGTACACTGGGCACTCGTTTGACTGAAGTGTAGTAAATATATAAACTTTAACGCCCTTCCGCTGTAGATATTCACGGTATGGAGGCGCTTGTTTTACTCGTCGTAAACCAATCGACTTCGTTCTTGGAAATTCGTCGTTGTTATTTCATGCTCTTTCAGGCTATATGCGGCCTTTCGTGGGTCGAATAATAAAGCAAAAATAATTTTCATTTGTTCCAACTGGCCACGGTTACTACCGCAGCGCCACGATACTCATTAAACAATCGAATCACTGCACTGACCGAAAATTGTCAGGAGTATCTCCAACGAGTGCACACACCATAAACGCAAAGGGATCGAGCGAAAATTCGAGTAACACTCGAGGATCCAGCTTAGCCGGCGTTAGATAGCCAAAGTCTCTGGCCTCAGGAATTTATCAAGCCTTTTTCACAGCGCTATTGACTGACGCTTGATACCCGAAAAACTACCAGGTTCCATTGTTCATTTGCTTCGTACGCGAAAAGCGACGCCAATCTCTGCTTCCTTTCTAAATGGACAACTCTATTATCTATTTCCTAACCGTAACCTATCCGGTACGGTTAACAGGTTTTGCTCGTACGAAACAGCGTTGAAAAACTAAGCAACAAATTAATTTTAGGCCATTAAAATAACTATTTAATTGCGACAAATTTACATTTAATCCTCTTCCGACTTCCCTTAAAGACAACTCCCTCTAGACCTATTAACGACAAAAAAATAACACCCTATGGAGCTTGACCATAGACCTTCTATATCTCATAAATCAGTGTAAATCTTCACTAAAGTTTCTCGCTTCCGTAAGTGTCCATATGATGACATAGTACCGTATAACAAATCGGTACGTTATCGTTGATGTCAGAACCATTGCTCAATATGTATCCTTTTCTATTTCGTCTGCTAGTTAGCCCAGGCTTCTGTTAGCAAAGTCATTCTTGGCGCCTCTGTGTTAGGAACTTGTAACACTGATTCGTGTGTCACCAGCTTAAACCAGCAAAACGCTGGATGGCCTATTATATTATAGTATTGCTCTCCAAGTGCACTACTTGCTTGATATCTACAACTTTGGCCCCATGCGTGAGCTTGTGCCTTTGGGCGTCGGAACGCGTCCCTGGTGTGCGACAGAACCTCCGCGAGTCGGGCTGGCCATCGCCACTGAAAGGAGTATCGGTCTTCCATCAGATCACGACTTTGTTTACTGCATTTCCGACATGAACGAAATCTTCGTCTTGGCGTCTCTTTTTCAAGAGCTACACTGACCGCTTCGAAAATTGCCATTATGCACGTATATTTTACCAGCGCACTCGTGGTTATTTGACGCTCGGGCGCTGGCCCACGTCCATCATGCTTAATGGCGTCTACGATGGCGAGTCCGTTGCTGCTGCCATCGCCGATGACAACGGCCCTTCGCTTGCTGATGCGTCTTCATTAGATTTGATCGCCACCCCTCCCTCCCGCTCTCTCTCTGACTTTCTCTCTTTTTCCTGTTTTTTTTTCTGTTCCATGCCGCAATGGCGACCGCTGTCAGCACTCGGCAATGGCGGGCTTTTCTCTGCCCTGCTCTTTCCCGTCTCGTAGTTAAAAGCCATAATTTGAATTAAATGAATCTAGAACAACCGCCACACGATATCGTGATGAGCTAAAACGTAAATATCTCGTGTGGTTAAGGAAATATCATCGAGTAGTAGCGACAGTGGTAGAGGTATCATTGCTCTGAAACGTGAAAATAAGAATCGGTGTCTTTGAGTGTCATTGCGTTAAAGATCTTTATCTGTTTTTATCAGTCGCTGCTAGCTATTTGGCGGCGTTCGCCGTTTGCAGGTCTATGGGCTGACACGTACTTAAGTGCTCTCAATTAACTTCCCAAGTATGTTTCATTGTATCGCGTGGAACTTTCCTGCTCCGCAAGTAATATTGCAATGCATTTATGAGCTGTTAGTACAAGCGGTCCTCCATAAGACTGCCGAAAATGGCCCTGCAAATATCAATGAGCTTTCCCTTCTGGCTCAGAATCGTTTTATTGGCATAGCGGTGCCTTTAGTTACCCTACGTCTATCCTATAGTAAATCTTGCACTGTGTACAGTGTCTAGCCAAGGGTCATTATCTCGGGTGTCCTAAGAAAGCTTTTCCGCAACTGAGGAGTTTTTCTTCAGTCATTCCTTCATCCGTCCATTTTTAGCTCTATTTGATTTTTTGCTAGTTTTTTTTTTATTTTTTTTGTCGGTAAAACTGTTTCTCTCAACCTGTCGCAGACGACAACTGCAGCGTCGTTATATCTTCCATTTTGCTGACGTTGCTGTTGTTGGTGTGGTCGTAGCGCAGATGGACAGCCCGACTTTGCGTGTATTTTAAATGAAGGATAGCAGGTTGTCTCACTTCTAGTTCAGCTGACATTTTGCGTTACTGTCGAACACAGTGTAAAGTGATACAGGTATCGTCGTAATAGATTTGCTCTTATTTAGAACGAGAGATATAGTAGTAAAAAATACGATGGCGGCAAAATCAGCGACAAGCGACGCGAATCGTCCGAAAATGGAAAACGTGTCAGAATAAAGAGGGACATTAGGACACCTGACGCCGGCTACTTACGCCGTTCACCAGACGCTCGGTGCTTGACGCCGTCTTGTAATACCTAACTTTGACGGATATCATCTTGCGTAGGTAATAGCAATTGTTGCTTTAAAACAAAATTTCGAAATAGGTTACACGGCCTATGATGTCAAGGGTACAGGCAAGTAACTGTGAAAACTTTACCAGCAGGGTACATAGTGCAGTAGGTAAAGACGATGCTCCTAATTAGCTGGGCTAAATATGTTCTATTGATTATTGTGCGGCAACGATCTCTGAGGGAATTTGAGTTACAATAGTATGAGTACAACCCTTGTAAGAGTCTACGCAGAATATTTGATATATATATATATATATATATGTATATACTATACTAGGAATAAAATGATTACTTACAGCTGGGCTGGGGAGGTTACGTACTTCAACGGTCACTTCAGACCTCGTTCCGTCAGCGAGCAGAATCGAGTTATTCACCTCGAACGAAGGGCAGTATCCACGACCCTTGTTCATGAGCGTGTCAATTGGGTTCTGGAATCGATAAAACCAAAATGATAACACGAATGATTTTTTCCTCGAGTACGAACGATTAATAGGCAAAATTCATAGCTGATTGATTCAAGCATATATTTATTAGTATTGCCTACCATTATAGATACTGCTCATATCTGCATATATCACGTTGAATTTTCAGCAATCGTGGGTCACTGATATGCTATGAAATTTAGCGAAACTTTAGTAAACATTCTGCGGAACAGTTAATACATTTCTAACGACAGATGTCAGAAGTTTGAGTTTAGTTCTACTTTGTATGCTCGTGTTGCTGCAATTTATTAGATATACATTTCTTGTGAGAACTGTCTACAATAGAACAGTGCGTCCAGGCCGAAGCCGCTCTGGTTATTCCTTCGTCCTTTTTGAAACTAATGATCCTATTGTTATCGCAGACGATGCCGGTGATCGCCTGCGACCGCTCAAGTTTTCTTCCAAGTTCTAGGCGCTTCTAATGAACTGAACAGCCTGTACACCATTGTATTTGCTTGCATTTTAAGGCCATTCTTCCGTTTACCTTCGGCCACCCATTCCGAGAGAACAGGATTTTATTTGAACACCGAAATTCTTTGTAAACAAAGCAGTCTCTTCAGTCTCACCATATTCATTCACGATGTATAACGAATGTCTGATTCTGTCTGTCGAATAGACCCCAACACAACTAGCTCAACCAACAGACTTCACCGATTTGTTCACGCAACGATAAGCTCCTTGGTTGCATATAGTAATAAAATCGAGACGACAAATAACACTCAGGGCAAAAACATTTGTATACACAAGGTCGGATGGACACAGGTACTGACTGGTTATTTTTTTTACCGATGATTTGAGAGAATATGTTCATGAAACCGTATTCATCACTTTATTGTCACAAATGAAGACTTTGAGGGATCCTGAGGGCGCCTTTGCATCTGCAATGAACTGCGCTTAAAGCGTTTGTGACAGAAGTTATTTTTTTGTAAAAAAGGCCTTCGAAAGATCCACTTCTTGCTGTCTTTTCCATCCTCCATATTATTGCCATCTCAAAAATATACTACGAACGTGTTTTTTTTTATTTCGGAAACTTCTTTGAAATATTCGAAGCAGATATATATATATATATATATATATATACATAGATGCATAATTGTAATATGTATAATATATATATATAAGCACTCGACAAGAGCTTAAACCCTGTTCGAGGTTTCCAAGATGAGTCAGAATTAGATGGCATGCCAATCTGGGTTAAAGCCGCCGACGCCTAGAGGACTTACGAAATCGGGTCACGGTGGGATGCGTACTCACACAGAGCCTGCACGCGTTACTTCACCCGCCTGGAAAGCTCGCAATCTCAATATAGTTCTTACACCGGTCAGCGACGAAAGCAGCTTTTCCTCGGCCTCGACCCAACTAACCACCTATTAGGGTATTATACACACCAACAGCAGCTCATCATACGCATTCCGTTCCTTCGACACTTGTCGTTGATAGTTCATTTGGTAATTTTTCTTCCAACATCGTCGACTCGACGTCGAAGATACCCAAACCCTAGCTCCAGCTGTTGCCGTCGACTCGGGCTAGTCGCGGGTGTTTGATCCCTACCGGTCTCCTACCGATATGCTTGGGTTCTCTCCAGGTCAGATCAAAGCAAAGTCTAGCAGTGGCCGGTAGCAAAATCGCCATAACGTCAGCAGAGCCCTGGCCATCCCGCCATCATTAGATAGTGGCGGCAATAATTAAACATAATCTTAATGAGGCCGAATGAGGGGGCGGTGGCAAACGGGGCCTGGAGCTCCACACGAGGAAAGGACGTACACTTACGAGAAAGTCGCTAAAATTTCACCCCTGTGGATGAACTGCATACGAAGGTGCGCACCCATGAAATTAAAGGGAGTTAAATACGGCAATGGCGAATATTGGTCAGCGAAAAACTATAGTATTAGATATTAGGACAGCGAAAACGATGGCCAACACCTGCGGAGCCGCTTGATCTCGACGTCGACTGTGACCTAAACAGTTTTTTTAGCTAGGATTTGTTCATGCTTTTTGAAACACTTTCTTGTTCCTGATGTTACATTACATGCTGTACAACCCAACATTGAGATCGTATTACTCGCTATAGCTTACAGCATGTTGATATTGATTGTGAAAACACCTATTTTGGCTGTTTCCGTGAATTTTTCCCTACACGCATACATAAACCAAACCCTCTTATTTAAACCACCAGTTCAAACCGGAGAGGACTACCTAACTTAGGTAGGTGAAGGCTACTGTCTTATAACAAAACCTGTTCCGCATACAGATCAAATCTACTCAGCTTTAAACATTTCTGTATGAACACGGCTGCAGACCGGTGGTTCATCGTTAGCTTTGTCGTTACTGTTGCTGTTCCAATTCGATTTCAGACCGCAGTCATCAATACGTCCCCCTACCCTGACATTCAGTTTCAATCTCAGCAATGCGCCTATGTTGGAACAGGGCCTTTCCGTCGAATGGCGCATATTCGCATCTACGCCTCCCGTAGAGGAGGCACGTGCTCATGGTCAAAGTTGTCCCGCCTAAAGCGGATCGTTTTCTTCAGCGTTAGCTAGACTGAAGCGGCATAGCCGCATGGGGGGTCGTGCCCATCGTAATGGTCGTCACAGCAGTGAATACTGGTGGAGTAGCAAGAAAAACAGGTATGGAGCAAATGCGTAAGCGACGAATTCCCTAAAGGTATTCTGGTACCCTTTTGCCCCTAATCCCCTTGCTGTTTCTATGCGCCAGACCCGTGACCGCTCCCAAGCTAGTTTCAGAACCGGGGAAAAGGAAGCATACAGCTAAAGAGGGGTGGGTGTACAACTAAAATGGGCTACAGACTGGGATGACTTGGCATCAAACTACAGACAATCCACATATCAGGGCATGCCATAGACTTGAATGAGACGGCAGACAAGAAGGCTCGACAGCCAACCAGCAAACGGTGGTAAGCTAGAGAAACGAATAGGTGTCCTTCCACATAAGTAGTTACAGAACTCTCGCTCATCTCGCCGGCCCTAGGCTACAGGGAACGAGAAGCAGTTGAAATCCCAGACTTTGAAAAACGCTCGTACTGCAACGAAACAAATGCGTGGACGTAAAAAGCCGCCTTACTCTATCTACCTTCCTAACCCACCCAACCTTCGCCACGTTCCCCTCTTGTCCCTGTGCTTCGTCCTAGCCTGCACGGCTAACTTCGAATACGGTATGAACGAATACGAAACTAAGGTGCATGTTGAGCGTGGTTGGAACACGGGTGCCAGGGGTTGAAACCCGCTGGAGAGCAACGGGTAATGAGCGTAGCACCCCTAGAAGTCTGCTGGTGCATAAACGGGTCGTCAAAAAAGGCGAAACGGAAGACGGGGGAGGATGGCTGTCTACAATCGCAGTTATCTTTTCCCTTGAGAGGAAAGAACGGCAATGAGTCTTTTTGCGTGCACACGATACGAAGCATACCGTTACCGCCAAAGCCGGAGTAAGCCGGGGAATGTTCCTATCTGCCAAATGCCCCTTCTATGAAGCGTCTGTACGCTGCCAGGGCTATACCAATCCTGTTGGACTAGCGATAGTCATCACCTACGTGGCAATGGCCACACTAGCAAAAGCCCCATCGTCGACAATGACGTTTTTTTCAGCTGTTTTTGTGATGCAATGTACGTTACGAACAGCATTGCAATGCAATACAGGACTTTTTTTCGCTTTCATATTCTCTTCATCGGCATTTTATCCTGTCGCTCTGGAGTAGAGTCGGCCGTTTTAGTGCTCTTGCGAGAATAGGTTCCGGATGTGTCGAGCTCTGCGCGCGTTGGTGGCTCTCGTTCGTTAAATGTGTCGAAATGAGAGAACAAGTAGTGAATGACCGTGTACGGTTTAACGGTACCAGATTAGAAACAGAACAGATAACCACTATGGATACCATACGCGCAGCGATTCTACGCAGTAAGTTACATATATATATATATATATATGTATATAGTTTGCAGCCCATGTATTACGAACGGAGGGCAGCGAAATGTATCGCACCCAGTGACAGTGTGCACACATACCTCAAGCACTGTTGTACAATGATAATTTAAATTACTTTATATACGGACATATATGGGCTCATTCTGAATAAATACGTTTGCAAGCTTGAGAAATGCATTTCGGTAAGTGTCCTAGAACATTTCTCCACGCGTTTATCGATTATAGGTTTAAGCCTTAATTTGATTTTGTTATGCTCTTGGAAAGTCGATATCGTCTTATCTCACTTCTGCGCTATCTTTGGCCTTGTAGAAGCCTCTCAAGGTTCAATCGTATTCCGTGACAATTTCCAATACCTGCGCCTCTTTTCTTGTTTTCATCGAGGCCTTGCCCACCCGACTTCGCAGGGCATTCCAACAAGCGGCTCCAAACTTTGGCGGGCAACTATGACGGTAAGTAGGTAAAGTAAAAGTTGCCACCCGTCATGGCAAAACAAGCCGGCAGCAGCGGCAGTAACGTAACAGACCAAAGGTGTCTCTCTTCTGGTATGTAAGATTTCGCCTTCTCTCTGTTTGTCTAGATTTACGCTCTCAACTCATCTCAGCTATCCGTTTATCTGCTCCAACTCCGGTTGTTCTGGCTCGAAAACAGTCGTTAAAGGCAATACCTCTGTCGTCTTGCTGCATTCTTAATGTCACTTTGCTGCGCACCCCCACGCTCCTTTGGAGGTTTCAAATTGTTCTACCTTCTGCGTTCGTCTTTATTAAGTGGGATGGAAAGCGAGCGCCAGGTACAGGGCGTGAGATACGGGCAGTACACTAGAAGCGCACCAGTCGAACCGAAGAAAGCAGACGATCTGGGGGACTCTGCGAAAGGGGAAGAAGGAGAGGGAGAACAGAGGAGACGGGCCCCATAGTCACCACTTGAGAATGACGTCGTCACTATTGCCTCTTTAGCGTGTGCCACTCCTCATCAGACCAAGGCTTCTTCCCCCCTGAGTTTCGTTTGCCAAGGGGCCGCCCGTCATCCGGACAGCGTCGGAAGCCCGGTCCGATATGACACCGGTTGAACGACACGTACTTCCCTGTCCACGTAAAACGACCGGATCGAATTGAAGATTCTGCGATGTAAAGTTATCTCTATGCTGCTTGTCTTATTTTTCTGTTCATGCAACTTGAAAAGTATGATTCTACTGCAGCACAAGAAGCGCACAGCGTCCGCTGCTACTGAAGTGCTGTCAGCGAAGTTATCCCGTTACCAACCCATCAAAGAAACGAAAGACGCACCGACGTGAGCGACGGCAAAAAATATGAAGGTGAGAAAGACAAAGTAATAGAAAAGGCGAGTTAAGGTATCTGACAAAGTGAGCTACGGTCTTGTCTAGGTCGACTGCAGCAGATTCTTCCGAGCACCAGCCCAGTGATTCAATGGTTGCCGCCCTTTCCTGCCTCTCTCTCTCGCTCACCATTTTAGGGATTTCCTGTTTCTGGTAAACATGCAGACGGCAGTAAAGAACGTGAAAGGAATCGAATGGTGGAGAGTATGCGTGACAAGCTAGACCAACAAGGTATGGCATCGATCCACGAAGTTGTTCGTCACCGACTAACTTTTCAAGCGTTCGTTTAGCCCGACTCGGTAAAACCAGGCAGTTTTTTACGTCATTACAGGCTCCGTTAGTGTTAGGATTAGCAACTGCATTTGCAGCCCAAGTCGTGCTCTCGGTGTTAGAACAAACAACCCACTTTTAGAAAATGCCGCGGCGGAATACGCAATTTTTGGTGATGGTTGTTGCACACGGGAAAATCTAAGGGTATGGTTGCTCGCACAGAGGAAAGCTCTCCAAAGACATACTATACACTGCTTCAACGCCCTTTGCAAATGATTGGTATAAGTATTGTGCCTGTTTCCCTGCGTGAATGTCAATGACTCTGCGTGAGAACAGCATCAAACAGATGATTTAGGAAAAAAGATTGGGTAGATGAGACTGACGAGGGACAAACATGGTGAGCTGTAGATTCTTCTTCTCCGACTCTACAAAAGAAAAATAATTTTTTCGACCTTCTCAAAACGCTAAATGGTCTCTGTACCGTAATGCGCCTAGGGTAAGTCGATGTGCAGTCATTAATGTTGACAGGAGCTGCTCTTTGAACTTGAAATTACAACTTTCTCCAAGTTACACTAAACATTAGTTATGCTATGCTTATATATAGCCTTATGCCCTTGCTATATGATATATGGCTTTACTTACATTCTCGCCGAAGATGACCGTTTTTGAACATGACGATGAATCGGAAGAGCACTTATTATCGGAAAAGCACCAGTTGCAGGAGAACTTCGAGGTCACGCAAGATGCGCACGTCTTGTGCGCGGAACAATCATAAAAGGTAAAGGGACGCTGGAGAAAGTCCTTGTTAGTTTCTGACGAGCGGATTGCCAGTAGGGTATCAACGGAATCCACGCCTACGGGAACTCTAGGTCTTTCGTGCACTGGGGGGGCGGCGCACATTAGCCCACTTGGCGTCTCGTGAGCACTTATTGGCACCTTTTTCACGGTGCCGAACACGCAGATGTACCGTGCGCCCTTTGGAAGCTTCGGAAGCTGGTTGATCGAGATCTCGATTGAGGACTGAGCGGAAACCGCCAGCTGCTCCGGACGGATCCACTGGAAATCGATGCACTGCTGCGAATCCAGCGAAAGCCATCGAGTAGCGTACAAGCGGTCGTCCTCGGTCGAATTATGACAGGCTGATTTAACCGCACATCTGTAACAGGATGTAAGCGTTTCAAAGATATAGTATAATCATTTAAAAGCGTCTTGCCTGCGCAACAAAAACGCGTACAGCAAGCGTTATTCTGTGTAATATCTATAGCTCAAGTTTGCACTAACCGTTGATTCAACGATCAGAAAGTGAATAACATGCGAAGCGAGATATGTAACTTCATGATAAATAAAAAATAACATAACCTTTGTGTGTGTGTGTGTGTGTGGATCGCAATGCATAATAAACCAGCACATTCTTATCTCGTGCTCGTTTTCCTATCTATTCATATAAATTACTTTTAACCCCCCACTAGAGCGAAGTTCGCCATCCTTCTGTACTTAAGGATCCTCACGTTTACTTCACTTTGACACTTCGCCAGCCATGTGACAGATTCATGTGTGGCCTATACGCTCCCTACTGCTAGTATAGAATTTGTCTCTTAAGCAATTCAGGCAAAGTTTCCTAACCGCAGCCTTCAGCAGCATCCATCTAATACTGTACACATGCGGGTAGACATCACAGTTCGCCTCTCTACGTCAAAGCTCGAAAAAACCGCCAGGGTGTGCGAGAGTCTATAATTCGTTAGGTGCCACTTAGTTGTTCATGGACGGGGGAGTAGCAGACTTTTGACTGCTTTCGGCTTGCCTCGTGAAAGCCGACTGCGTCAGAGTTTGCAACGGTCGGCAGTGTTGTGCTGGGTAGCTTATAGTTGCTGCTGGTGTTGATGAACATGCATCCACATGTTTAGCGTCAGAGGCTGGTCGGTGAACGTCGGCTTACCCGACCAGAATGGGGTGGCTGAGTGGTTGAGAGCCGCCTCAAGCAAGCTGGTAAGGTCGTCCGTGTCCAGCGATGTTCCTGCCAAGCTAGTTAGACCACGACCCGGACCGTGGGCCTGCTCCGCCCATACCTCGTAACACTTTGTGGAGGGTTAATTTTCCTGTGTGCGGTGCGTGGCTCGTGACGGCCTGTCTTCTTGTCTGGCTAGCTTCGCTTCGTAGTACATCGCATGCGAACATCCCCTTGGGGCATTCCCAGAAAAAGCCTCGCCGAGTTTATCCCTCTCCTTTCCTAAACATCTCCTTGAAACTGGTCCCATGAAGGTCTAGTCATGCAACCTCTTTACTACAGCTTGCCTAAACTTTAAGGCGGTCCCCACGGGTCCCTCAACGAGAGCAGGTCTGAAAGCGACTGGAGGTTGGTGACTGCTTCTTCAGCAGAGGCAGCAGACGGCCCTCTGCTAGGCCGGTTGTTCGAAGGAGAGTAAGACTCCCTTGAAACGCATAGAGTGTAAGGAGATACTGCTTGGCGCAGTAGAACGACCTCGGTCGTCTTCACCACTAGCACCACAAAGATATCCACGATGGTAGAACGTTTCCCTTTATGGCATGGACGTTCCGCTCGTTATTCGAAGCTTTGCAAGCTAGGACAGTACGGGTAGGCCAAGTGAAGGTAACAGCGTGAAACAGTTGTTTTTCGGCGGATGTGGAAAGTGCGTCCATACGGCTGGATACCTTTTGTACTTAACCACGAAGCCAACGCTAACATGAAAGAAATGGTGTATACACATCTATCTGCTTCCCTACCTATGTATATCAGTATAGACCTGTATAATTCCTGGACGACCTGTGCCCGTTCAACTTTAGCCAGATTATTCTAGCAATAATATACGTTTCTATTAAAATATTCTATACATTGGAGCCGGGACAGTTTGTTTATCTAAGGTTTGCAGTTTCAAGGAAAAGAACTAATCTTTGTGATGAATTTTTTTTTTCTTTTTTACCTTTTCTCGAGGGAACACCAACCACAGTAAGGATTTCGGGCTTGGAGGCAGGCGCTACATGTGTCGTGACGTTCGCATTCAGCTACCTTAAGTTTGGAAATCTGTAAATAGAGCAAGGAGGCAATATGGTTTTTGATTAAACAGTATCTTTATGTAGACATTGTTATTAAGTAAGTCTCTATAGACATTAATAGTCGGCATTATACACTAAACTGTAGGCAAAAATATTAGAGAAAGAAAGTCGCCTAGCGTTAGGCCAATTTATTAACCAGCGGCATCATCCTAATTGTAATAATACCAATAGTGTTACTAATTAGTTGGATATAATGGTTAATAGTTCAATGACAAGGTGATACATGAATCCAAACGCTGTAACGTTATTACAGAAAACGGTGGTAAAAGACGAAGCACGCCTTTGTCCTTAATTCTCTCTATTAATACTTCCACTTACTATATCGTATATGACGATCGTTTTGCGGTTAATTAAATTGACCATTGGGTGGATTGGCACACACTATTATTACTATCAACGCTAGTAGTGCCATGACAAATATAATTAGCACAAGTAATTAGATCTATATGCGTCTATATATATATATATATATAGCTTTACGAAGTTCCACCAGTTACATCTACCGAGTTACCGAATGCTTTCATGAATCAGGCGATTCTGGGGGTGTATGGTTGTCAGACATCGGCTCATACGCAACGACCCTATCCGTGGTTTGTCCAGAACACGCAGTCCAAAGCGGCCAAAAGCCTTCTACAAGGTCGATTAAACATTGAGGAACACGGTGGCATCGGCTGTTGCCCCCAAAACTCAATAACAACGGCCGAAGCATCGTCAACATTAACTCGATGTTGTGCCATAGGCCGGAAAACATTATGGCCGCGAGCAGAGCCGGCGCTGATAACGATCACTAACCCAGCACTTCTTCTGACGCTTTTTTTTTTCTGTGTCCAGCCATGTGTATGCATCAATATTAATTACGACATCGATAGGACCTGGACGGGCTGTCTTTTGCTGTAGCTCCTACATCTTCATTGAATATCATAGTTTTCATTGTTACTGGCAACGCTATCATCGTCATCGTCATCGTCGGACTCGAATTGGCAGATTGTGCCAAACTCCCAAAGTAAATCAAGTCCGATCTAGCCTGATCAGGTTATGCGTAGGGAAGATGTATCGCCCTGCATGTAGAGGCCTACATGTAGAACTAAGCGTCCGACAGAAAGCCACTAGACAGTGATACCATTAACATGGCAAAGCAGCAACGGTGTAGTTGCACCGTTGTGCAGTACGATGTCACCGTAACACGTCGTTGGGCGATTAGCGGGACCCGAGTTCCAGTCGACCACAGGGGCAAGCGATTTGTACATCGTGTGCCTTACCCTGAACCAGGCTCAGCTCAGCACTGATCAAATGCCACTGGCCGTAGTTCGGTCTGTACAACAGCTCTAACCTAAGCTGAGTGTGCGTAGATATTAGCGTAGAGACAACAGTCAACGGAATCGGCCGCAGTGTAAGAGGAAGAGCAATCCCTGATCGGACGGAAGGGGGAACGAACTTTTCAATAAGGCTCTTTACCTATCTACTTTATAGATGAATTGTTAGTGAATACACTGGGGAGAGTCAGACAGAAAGAATCAATTAGTCTGATTAATGCCTACTGCCTCAGAAACAGTGACAAATAGGCCGCATACATCACTTGCTATCAGGTACAAAGTGGGCGGGGTAACTCTGAGGTTGCGAATAAACTGGGCGCCGACAAAAATGGAACAGAATAGGACTCTGTTCGAACTTGTAGAACGACATAAAGGCGTAATCACCCTGTATTATTGTTGTGGGGCTACTATGCGATATAGGCGGATGTAGAAAACATATTCCAATTCGTTGTCAGGTATGGCTGAGACATATCATTTGTCATCATCAGTTCTATATGAGAACATGCAGATTGGGCTATGGTTGCTGACCATATGAGTCTACCGTACCATAGACTACACTCAAATAAGTTTCTAGGCTACAATTTTGAATATTCTTCACCGTGAAGTCCATTTAGATGTTAATGAAAATCACTCTCATGCTTTAGACAATACGGTTACCCAACGCTGGACTATACTTTAGCGCCTTCATTCATCCGTTGCTATTGACAGTTCCAGTAGCTTTTTTCTATACCAACGATGTGTTTACGATGTGCTTCGACATTTGGCATATCGGACACATCCGTGTCGTCGATATCGCACCTATGTCCTTCCTAGCCCAATGTGTTTTTGACTTCGACACTTGTCACTGCCATAGTTAATCATCATCGTTGCAACTGTTACAGCCGCCTTCGGTAAACAGTGACGAATTCATAGTATCACCCTGTCAATCTTTACGTAAGGCTGCACAAATCTATCTCCCAGAGCTCTTCCTTAGGATGAACTACTGAACCGCCGATCAGGCGATCACAGTTCAAAGAATCGCTATGAGCCGCGGAGCTGAAGTCACAGCTCGAAAAGCAGAGTTGATTATAGTAGTATGACCCAATGGCAGCGATCCAAGCAGGCGATCTGCAATAGATAAATAATATCCTGCAATGACACCTTTCCCTTGTTGGCAGTGCAGGGTCGGCTACTCGAGGATAGCGAAGGCGCCAGGAGGTGGCACAGAGCGTAGAGCCGAAAACTGCATGGCTTCCGTCCGAAACATAAACAGGAAGAAAAATCGAATAATATAATAACGCAAAACTAACTTGAAAGCGAAGATAGACATTTCGAACGAGCAAAAACAGCGGCTTCTGTAACAACCGCAGCAGCAGCAGCGGCAGCAACAACCGAAAAATTAAACTAAACGTAAGATTCGTCCGCTTCAGACGTAGTGGCCTATTCGGAGAGGCGGGCGGTAGGACCATTACGACTTCAGTGGCCCAGACCAACTTTCCAGCAATAGACAAAATCGTGGTCACCGCCGACCCTGTCTTGGCGCCAACTGTACGAAGACCGTGGAATTGCGGTAGATCATTTAAGCGAATTTGAGCCCGAATTTGATCAGAATCTTCGGCATACACTGTTGTCTGCGGTAACATGAACACGTGGATCCGCGTTGCAGACAGGCTGCCATGACCTTCATTATGGCAACAAAGGGGAAAATAGGCCGAAAAAAGGGCCTCTCATATCGCATTTTCAAAATTTGCTTTTTCCCGGTTTCTCGGTTGATTCGTAGCTGGTTATTCTGGTGCTGGCAGATCTCCCTTTGTTGTTTTATCTCGTGTTACGTTACTCTGTGCCATTGGCGGAACCAGTACGTCATCGCTGTAAAAACGTATTCTTCTCACACAAATTTAGATACGGTAGAAAACATGGAGTCAGAAGAATATCGAAATTAACTTTGTATATAAATGGAAATGATTTATATGCGTTGTCGAATTTCGATACTAAGCTTGTCAAACACTGCTGTTGAGGAATTAAGGTAAACAATCATTGGTTTTACTTGGCTACGTAAATGAAGGTGGCTCGATATACAATTGGAGATGATCGATCATGCGTTGTACCGACTTAACTCGAGAGTGGACTTGGAAATGACCCATTCTGAGAGGCGTATTGCCCTGTACTGCTGAGCCTATGCAAAACAAGGGATGCTGCAAGATGTGACATACGCCTGATTCTTATGCTTTTTAGACCTATATAGTAAAGCAATGAGGCTTGTTTCTACTGGCCAATTGTTGCGAAACAGGGTCATACTGGCAGGCAACCTAGTCACATTTGAAACCATGTTAAGCAGAACGGTAATCAATCACGCGGACATCCTTGATACGTTATGAAACGTTATTTCGACAAAGCAATTTCAGAAAGACCTTATCGTAAGGAGTTTCGTCCAGAGCGCTTAATCGGAATCTCCCATAACTGATCCGTATGCTGACATCAGCATATCTCCACAGTTCGAGAGGGCATTATACGGCACTAGACGGGTGAAGAATTGCCATTTTTGCTCCGACCCCTACGTGTCCTAATAGGGTATATCAAAATGAGGGGCATTTTGCACTGTAACTTATACGCATTACCGATTTTTTGAGTCAACTATTAGTAACGATAAGTTTTGTTTTAACTAATAATGACTGTGGAAACATCAGATTGACCGCTAGCATGTTTGGTAACAACAAGGGTGTGTTCTGAAATGTCCTACTCTGAAGTGTTATTTTGCGCCATAAGCGCATGAGAATAACATAAATGCTGTTGAGAAATATTAATGCCGTATAATTTGCTACATGAAAACGTTAGCTACTCGGTCTTACCATTGTCCTTAAATAATATTAGGCCAGAGGACCAGTCCTTACAATTAACCAATGAGACTGTGGTTAAATATAGTTTTCAAACGGCCCTCTAAACGATAAGCCCCCCTTCTCATCGCGGCTTCGTCTGAATGGGAAGATCATTAGTCTTCAGTAGCTTTCGTGACTGGCAGAGCTGCCACTATCTAGTCCGCTCTAAACGTATCGTAATAGCGAATTCGTCCAAAGAAAACTACCGCTTACTCAAACAAGCTGAAACTGAACTAATAAAACAAAAAATAAATCCTGTATGAAAATACATTACGCAAATTAACAACAGTATAAAAATCTATTTGAAGGGAACACGCACGCGTTCCCTATGTATGAATGTAACAAATCACTTGCCAGCGGCTAAATAGGCCGCACACGAAATTCCCAATGTACGACGGGGTCCAGAGTGCGCTGGAGGGTGGGACTCCGACAATATTCGACGACTACCTTAGCAGTGAAGTCTGGTCCACGTAATGTATTAGTCCATAAACTTCTAAAAAGCTAAAATAAACAGAATGCATTAACGGCAGGCAGTATCACCTCATTTGCACTTGGTTATACGGCCATCAGTAGCGCGATGAAACGAAGCCTTTGAGAGCGACTCCACAATGCCGTTGGTATCAGTAGACCCTGACCACACATAGTCAGTCGGCTACAGAACTCACAGCAAAATGCGTTGTTTTAATGGTTTGTTTACAGTTGTTCCGCATTTGCTTAGTTTCGTAGCGAACCTTCCACTGAGGCACGAACGCAACGTGCAGATACTGCATTTAAATTCGTTTTCGTATTTCGTTGCTCGC